CATTCATCCGGCCCTCAGTTACAACAAAAGCGAATTGTCAAGAAAACGGCGAGCTAAAGTGCTTTCGATAAGATTTTCAATGAACAAGATCCAGAATGTCCTACCTGGCAATCACATGATCTTGGCACCACAAGTCAGTCTACAAGACAATCCACACAGCAGCGAGTCGGATGATCTAGCTTTCAGCCATTCGGATGAGATAACCAGTCCTATTATCATCAGCCTTGAACTTTAAGGGCTTTGATATCGCCCACGACCGGCCTTTTTTTATTAGTAGCCGGATACGTCGGAAGGCTAGATAGTAGGGCGTGACTCTACTGGCTCATCAGCACTCCTTGGCAGACATGTTTTATCAGAGTAATATCAGGAACGGCTTCCAACCGTTTGACGTACAAGGCTGAGGCATATTTTGGTCTGTTTCAGCGACCGAGTTTTCATGTCATGATTTACACTTTCTACATTGAAACATTTGCCGGTTAGCTTTTTTATTTTTTTTCCTCAGGATGTCCAGCTACCTTGCGCAATAGCCCATGTTAAGGGTGGGCACCCAAGCATTATGCCGGATCGGTGGTGTCCATGGTACAGAACTTACGACGGGATGTACCCGAGCTATTCGGTTTCTGGGATCCCAGTTTCCTGTCAAGGGGCAATGGGAACACGGCATGGGATGAACGTGTGCGGCCGCCCAGCAGGAAGCGTAGCTGGCTGTAGGCACGATGTGCAAAGCATATCTCGTGATGGAATCGAGGTCCTTTTCGTGTGCATATGTATGGGCTGTGTCACCCACCCCCTTGCGGTATTCACAGTGTTGGTGGCTTGGTCTCTGTGTGGAACACTCGTGATTGGTGTTCTTTGCTGACTCGGTCCGTTGGTAAGTATTACATTTGAGACTGTACGGTCCGTGATGCCGGCACCAAAGACCAAGATTGCTGGCGTTGATGGGTAACACAATGACAGTTACATTACCTCAAGCAGTCACGAGTGCACCAAAGCTATTTTGGAACGCCCTTTCTCCATCATAATGCACAACATTGGGATTTGCGCATGGGGGACGACGCCATGTCTTGGATGCCATCGCCGAGCTTGTTACGCCACCCCCCTGCAGTCTCCAGAATAGAGGTTGTGTAAGTCGAGGTTCGTAGTAAGCTTACAACTACTTTGATCAAGCACACCCATAGAAACCTGTCTTCAAGGCTTTTGGACGCCATTGTGCTATTACTGGAGTTGAAGTTTTGTAAGTGAGAGGAGAAGCTCGTGAAGCTCCTCTACGATTTGTAGACCTAGGGGTAAGTATGCTATGGCCACCACCTGCATGTTGCAAAGGCCTAGATATGCCATAGTACCTGATACACCACGAGGTAATTCTACATCTAGAGGTTTATAGCAAATACCGAATCCGCTTAGCAACGGCCCACATGTTGTGTGACTGGGGCGGCTGACTGATGGCGGGATGCCAAGTATCGTGTCGGAAGACGAGGAACGACCCGAAGCGGTAACTCTGGGCATTGGTTGGAATGTGTGGTGGTTGGGGGCTGACGCTGGAACAAGACAAACGACTTTTACCGTAAGAAAGCGGGGGGTGAGTGAGAACAGAACTACGTACTTGGAAGTAAACCCGCTCGCTCGAGAGTGGAATATCCGTATGAGGCACTTTTAAGTCTTGGCTGCTTGCCTGTGCGACTCCAAAAAGGTCAAGTTGATCCGGCATATGTTGCCTTAAGCTCAGAGATAGGAATGTTTACGAGGGAAAAGCTGAAGGGTAACATGACAGGCCGAGGGGATAGGTACCCGAGGATAGGAAAAAGAAAGCAACAAGGAGGACGGTGACACCTATGAACTGTCACTGCCAACTCAGTACACTTGTGTGCCTGACAGAAGTCAAGCCAGGTCCCGACAACGGCTCCCCCGCCCCTCCTTACGAGTAAACGACTTGACGGATGGTGCAACTGAACGTTGCATACTTGGATCTGACACAAGAGTATTATGGTGCTTACGACCACCTGGTCATAGGATCAACTTCCTGGCGGGAGGAAGATCGGCATCATACTTTACATACATTATAAGTAAGGTGCTTCAAGGAGCGCTTGGGGGCCCGGCCTACTTAGAACGGATTCCCGGAGACGAACCGCGCTTGTGGTTACGATCTTGAGAGACAGCCCACCTCTCCAAGCACACACCCCCCAGCATATTCTTTCATCAATGCAGTTTAATTGGGTTTCCCACCTTCATAACAGACGCCCCTGATTTGCTTCGACGATCAAGTAATTCATGCGGCCAAGCTGGACGTTGAACAAGCAAGGGCGGGTAGTGGCCGGGGAACACAACAGTCCAGTCACAAAATCCCACGAGACCCTGCAGGATGCGGTGCTTATCCTTCCCACACCTCAATGATAAAATAAAGATGGGATGGAACGGGACGGGATAGGACAGGATGAAACGGGAGGGGGAAGGAGGGAAGCATGATAAACAAGAATGAAAGCCACTCCGTGGAACTCTCCAGCTTCACATCATACATATTTTGCGCCCACATCGAGCTAAAGCTGTCCGAGAAATGGGCCTGTGGTACGGTGTACCGGCCGGGCTTGTCGGTGTTGGCTCACTAGGTACCTTGGGTAGCAGTTAACCAGACCTGCATGATTGGGATAGTAGCGGTGAAGGGGTCGGTGTATTACAAGTTATATCATTTCCCCCCCTGGGGGTTGGAGGGGGTCCCCCGCTTGTCTTATCGCATACTGGGAACTACACCAACCAATACGAAAAAAGGGTGTTGCTGATATTAAGCCCTCGGGAAGCCTATCCCAACTCTCCCTAGAACAATGAGATTGGTCGTGCGTATGTATGATGTGACCGCAACTGCAAGACACCTGGGATTAGAGAATTCGTCCGAAGAAGCATTGGGTTAATGTCTTGTGACCCCGTTGTGAGGCATGTTAGGATCACGTAAACTTGCGATCCGGCCGAATCGCGACTCACCACATGGACGCCACTTGGAAGAATTTTGCCCACTTCGATGCACAAGGTGAGATCGGTAACAAGAGACATGGTTGCTTTTGCTGTTCTACGCCCAGCCTCTGTGCCGCCAGTGGGAACGCAATGGAGGAAGTTTAATTCTTGGTTTTGGTGCACATCGGTGAGTCGGGCTGGCTGCGGCGAACTGACCGACATGTGGGCTTCCACATGGAGCGATTCCGACGCAGCAAAGCGGACGCAACGCACTGGCGCTTGCGTCTGCATTATGCCCATTTCCCTTTTCAACCAGCGAATAAGAGGGAACAAGAAAATGATTGAAAAGGTTCCAAGGGGCGGGAATCCAAACCCCCGGTCACCGGCTTGGAGGGGATGCACCAATGTGACCGGCTGATCTGCCTGTGTGGTAGGGTGTTACAGCGCCGGGCTCGGCTACGGGAGGTTGGGCTGCATGGCCACGATACTTGACAGACGTCCAATCTGCGAAAATCACTTAATTTGATTGCATATGGGCCTGGAACATCAGCAGCTCGAGGGAACAGTCTAGATGCCTATAGCCTGTCTGACCTGAGTACGGTTTGAATCCTTCTCGGAAGGGATTGTCGCTGCGGGAGTGCCCGTTTCTTGTGTGCTGTTATCGGTTGTCTGCCGCCCGCAAGGTGTAAGTTAGCTCCATGCGCGGTGTGGTCATGCCCCCCTTTTGTCGCGGCCGGGGGACGGGCCGGAGGATATCGGCCGTTTGGCTCTTCGATGGAGACGTCAATGTATTTGCTGGTGACGTTGCCGACCGTGGCCGCCGCTGCGGGCGGGGCGCACCACACGTCGCAGCGGCGGAAGTTGGTCTAGACCCATACTTCTCCTTTGCATGCTATGTATATTGATACTGGCGGTTATATGAGCGGTACGTCAATTGTACTTTTGATGAACTTGCGGTGGACTTTACTGGGGACAGGTCTTCTTGACACGAGTAGTGACACCGGAAGTTGAGTCAAGGCAGAGTTGCTCGGAAAATCGATGACGGAGACGAGACATGCCCTTGCTACCTTTTCCGCGGACCCGCAGCGATATGTGAGCTGTCAACAATCGATAAGAAATCTTCCGATGACAGTACTGTGGCTACAGGACTGGAAATACGCTGAAGTTGCTAGAATACGTAAAATAATACACATGATCGAGATGCATCTGTGTCATCTGCATCGCGACATTTGTAAATGAACTTGAGTTGTGAGCTAAATGGCAAAAGGTTCTTGACTGTAACCTAAATACTTGACAGGATGTCTTCCTCACTGTCTGGCAGTTAAGGTAAATGCAACGCGAGACGAGGCCCAGTACGACAGTATATGGGCATTGAGAGAACTAGCAAAGCCCCGATAGCTTGGATGAAATGGGATGAGATGGGGGTTTATTAGAGTCCAATGGGGTGTTCAACTGAGTGAGATCTGGTACAGTTATGAGTTTAGGGCAGTTGGTGAGGTTTTGCCGCCGTATCAGACCTTTTGAGAAACTGCCATTTTCAAGGTGGGGTTTTGGGGGCTTTCGGTCTGTGGTTGTTGCAAAGCCCGTTCGTGATGACACACCGCCTGCCTAGTTTGGGCACTCCTGCATGATTCAGCCTTGCGCGGGAGATCGCGAGTGAGCTGCTAAGCTTCCAGGTCCCAAAAACTCAGCCTTGCCACCAGAATTACCATCTACAACGACGAAAAAGAGCCAATTCACGCGAAAAGTTTTATGTGTGAACGATACAGACCACTTAGAAAGATTCACGTAGCGTTGAAAGTAAGATTCTTTACTGCCGATAGCACGGTTCGGGCACTAACAAAAGCGCACGTAGAGTTCCAATCTGCTTTCCTCACACGAGTAGCCAGCCGCTCGACTGCCGTGCTTCCTGCGACCAAACTAGGAAGCTCTTGACAAGATACTGTCACAGTCATTTGAGGAAGCTCTCTGTTGGAGCATACATTTCTCTGCCGACTCCCGAGAAGCCTTTCAAGCGATCGCTTGGAAACCACTCTACACAACCTCAGATCATCAGAATGTCGAGCCAACCGCCTTCAACCCCAGTCAAAGTGCCGCCCTCGGCCGCAAATCACTCTGCAGCAACTTTAGATCCTGAACTCCGGTCACAAATCAATACATTACTACTAAAGGATGGCCATGTCACGAAGTAAGCCAGCACTTCCGTACCATTTTCCTCAGTCCTCTCTGTTTCGCAAGACTAACGCCGCTCCACCAGAATCCAGGAACATCTCCTTCATAGTCTCCATGCGAATCAAGCAAATTGGCCGACCATTATACAGAACCATGCCCTGAACCTTCTCCGCACGGGCGAGGTCACAACATTTCCAGCACTACTCAGCCGTGTCCTTGACGACGTTCGCCAGGACACACTGAACCCACCTGCCACCTCTGCCTCCCCATCCACAGCTAAGACCAACGGCACAAGCGACAAGGATAAGAAGACCAACGGCACCTCTGCATCCGATCCCAACGCCCCAAACAACCTGGCTATCCCGACTGCTGTTGTCGAGGAGGCTATCAAAGTTACACGCGAGAGTTTAGAGGCCGTATGCGAGATCGATGATGCAAGTGGAAGTTGAGGCGCATGAGGGCGGGTGACGAGTGTCAGTTCACGTATGAGAGGTCGATGAAGGTAGATGAAGGTAGAATGGATAGAGAGCTTGCAAGGGGTAATGAATGACGACTCATCGCTGGTGTAGTGGGTAGGAGATGAGGAAAAGGCTGAGTTGAGCGAATACCTCAGTTATTGTTAACGAAAGCCCTCTGATGCCGCCAAAGACGAGTGTGTGGCTTGCATCGCATGTATGTATAAAATTTGGATTCGGGCAATTGGGATTGGGCTTCCTAGTTGAGCGGAAGAGAGCATACGATATCAAGTTTTTAGACAGCCAGCCAAGAAATGACCCCAAATACAGGCTGACATTACCTCCGAACAATACAAGGTTGATGGGTGCTACCACACACATTCACAGGACAGACGGCACCGAAATCTCAAGCTCTACCAATGCTTGTTAATATGCACCTTTTCACTAGCTGATTAGCCGTATTCACCATGTTCGCCTGTTGTTGTCATGAAAGATTTGTTATCAACTTTGCATAAGACTACCTGTCTACCAACTCCGTCCGCCCCCAGATTTCCACCTACAGGCATGGATGTCTGTGACCCGGTTCATCATCTGTTCATTTGATGATGTAGATGTATCGGAGAGCAAGAGAAAAAACTAGAATACAAGGCCCGGCCAGCATTAAGTGGCAATCTAGCCCACCCTTTAGTCGTAGAGATCATCATCGTTACCGGCGTCACCGAAGTTGTTAGCAGCCTGGTTGGCAGCAGCGTCACCCTCGGGGAACTTGAAGTACGCGCCAGGGCCAGCATTCTTCATCTGCTGAGCAAAGGCCTCGTACCGGCGAATCTCAACATCACTGACGGAGCGACGAGCCATCTGCATAGCCTCCTCGAAGTGGCGCTTGGTAAGCTCAGGGACGGGGTCTTCCTCATCCTCATCCATAGCTTCCTCGCCAGCAGCCTCGCGAGCCTTCGTCTTGGCAATGTCGGCTGTGATAGCCTCCTTAATGGCGAGCTTGACGGCACGCTGGGTAATGAAGCCAAGATCGGCACCAGAGAAGCCGTGAGTCTTGGAAGCAATGAAGTCAAGGTCGACATCAGCAGCAACAGGAGTCTTGCGGAGCTGGGCCTTGAGGATACCAGCACGAGCAGGTTGGTCGGGCAGAGGGACGTAGATGAGGGAGTCCAGACGACCGGGACGGCACAAAGCAGGGTCAAGCTGCTCAGGTCTGTTGGTAGCACCAATGACGAAAACGTTCTTCTTGGAGGTCATACCATCCATTTCTGTAAGGCTGTCAGCATGCAAACCATATAAGAAACGCGGAATAGAGGGAACTTACCAGTCAGAAGCTGGTTGACGACACGGTCAGAGGCACCGCCGGCATCACCAACGGATCCACCACGAGCCTTGGCAATAGAATCCAACTCATCCAAGAAGACAATGCAAGGAGCGGCGGCACGAGCCTTGTCAAAGATGTCACGGATATTGCTCTCGGACTCTCCGAACCACATGCTGAGAAGTTCGGGTCCCTTGACGGAGATGAAGTTGGCAGCACACTCGTTGGCGACAGCCTTGGCCAACATCGTCTTACCAGTACCGGGGGGTCCGTAGAACAGGACACCACGAGACGGGGAGAGACCAAACTTGAGGAACTTTTCGGGGTGGTCCACAGGGTATTGGACGCTCTCCTGCAGTTCGGCCTTGACGGTCTCGAGACCACCAATGTCTTCCCAGCGAACATTGGGAACCTCGACAACGGCGACCTCGCGCAGGGCGGAGGGGTTGGAGACACCGAGGGCGAAACGGAAGTTCTCCATGGTGACACCAAGAGAGTCGAGGACCTCGGCATCGATGGTGTCCTCATCAAGATCGATGAGGTCCATCTTCTCACGGATCTGCTGCATGGCAGCCTCAGAGCAGAGGGCAGCAATATCGGAACCGACGTAGCCGTGGGTCTCAGCGGCAATCTGCTCCAGGTCGACATCGTCGCCAAGCTTCATGTTCTTGGTGTGGATCTGGAGGATCTCAAGACGACCAGTAGGGTCGGGGATACCAATGTCAACCTCGCGGTCGAAACGGCCAAAACGACGCAGGGCGGGGTCGATGGAGTTGGGTCTGTTGGTGGCCGCCATGACGACGACATTGGAACGAGCCTTCATACCGTCCATGAGGGTCAGGAGCTGAGAAACAACACGTCGCTCAACCTCACCGTTAGTTTTCTCACGCTTAGGCGCGATGGAGTCGATTTCATCGATGAAGATAATGGCAGGCGAGTTCTTCTCCGCCTCCTCGAAAGCCTTTCGCAAGTTGGACTCGGATTCACCAGCCATCTTGGACATGATCTCAGGACCGTTGATGAGGAAGAAGAAAGCACCAGTTTCGTTGGCAACAGCTCTTGCCATCAACGTCTTACCGGTACCAGGGGGTCCGTAGAGAAGCACACCACGAGGGGGCTTGATACCGATAGACTTGAAAAGCTGGGGATGGCGCAAGGGAAGCTCGACCATTTCACGAATCTGAGCCATCTGCTTTCTGCAGCCACCGATGTCGTCGTAGCCAACCTCGTTCAGGTTGTTCTCTTCCTCGTCACGCTGAATAGGCTCGCCCTCGCAGTGGATGACTGTATCTTGGGCGACAATGCCATACTCGGGGGGGTCGACCTCGACAACCTTGAATTCTACTTGTCTCATACCACCACGGACGATGAAGAGATCGCCCTGGCGGACGGGTCTGTAGGCCTCGCGGAAGTAGGGAGCGAGGAAAACGTCGAAAAGGGATCCGGTAATGCCCTCAACGGTGTCGGCAATAGGAAGAACAGCAATGCGCTTGGCCTGCAAGGGAGTTAGAATCATGGCTCAATGGAAAGCCCTCTGAAGCTGATACATACGTATTTGATGTCTGGGCAAGGGTGAATAGTAATCATGTCACCATGCTTCACCCTCAGGTTGTGGCGAACGACACGGTTGATGCGAGCACTGCCGTCATCAAGCTCATCATCAGCAAGAACGATCAGGACGGTGTCCTTCCTCTTCTTGCCGCGCACAAGCACGGTATCGCCACGGAAGAGCTGGAGAGCCTCCATGGTGTTCTCGGAGAGGGCGATGATAGAATTGTCATCGTTGACGGCATCAGTAACCCTGTTCCAGTCAGTTTGCGAACATTGCCCCACGTCATCCACAGCTCACGTACATCAACTGGTTGGGCTTCTTCTTCTTCTTGAGGATAGCGGTCGCAGTATCATCTTGCTGTTTGTTTTCCACAGTCAGTATCATCATCGTTTGCCGAGCGGTTCGTGGAGAGCTGGGGGGACAAACATCCTTGACCTCGGCACCGGAGGCATCCCTAATAGTTATAGTCAGTGTCATTCTTTCCAACAACTTTCGCTCCTCTCAGCAGGAGACATGGCTCTGTGCTCACATCAAGTTGACCTTCTTCTTGTGCTCGGCGGGCTGTTCCGACGGAGGCGCCATCTTGATAGTTTGTGTTGTGACGGATTCGGATCCTATGCAGCTGAAGAGGTGAGGTGGGAGGTGGGCTCGTCAGCGTAATGTGGGGTCAGCTGTCGATTTGTAGGTTTTCCGTAAGAGCAGGAAAACAGGAAGGAAGGACAGAAATAAAGGGTTTATATTCCTTCCTTGTGATGTGTAATGGGGAAAGGGAATTTCGTAGATCACGGAGATAGAGGTGGGAGGTTAAGATGGGAAGCTGTGGTTTCGGAGAACAAGGTGCAGTAAAGGCCAGCAGTAGAGGTGACGGGAGGCGGCAATCACTGGGAAGCGGTCCCTGGACGACCAATGAAATCATATAGTGGGGCGGATTAAGTGGTCTCCGGTGGTCTCGTGGCTTAGGTAAGGCGATACTCCAGGGTTGAGTAACTGGCCCAAGCTCTATGATTCAGGTGTCGTCAGGGCAGTGGAAAGTGTTGGAAGCTTCCACTCTTGCTGACCTTGAGAGCCCCGTAGGCAGCCTTTGGCCACGCACTCCAGGCACTCTAGTAGCCAGTTGGTGTCGCACGCACGGCCACGCACTTGCTACACCGGACCCCACCTTTCAACTCGCTTTTCGGTACCTTGCCTTATCGCCTTTTGCATTAGTGAGCTTTTATCGGCATGGCAATTTACACACCTTTGCCTCACCGAGTAGTACACTACACACTATGGATCCTTTTCCCCTCTTGTTCTTCTGCCAGCGTGTCGCCCTTGTCGCCTTAGGCTCACTGTTCCTTACCTTAAAACCACGGCAACCTTTTTAGCATGTCGGCGAAGATAAACAGCCCATTGAAGGACGGAACTAGCGAGCGAGTTCTTTGTTTATTTCTGCAACAAATGGACCAAAGGAGCGGCTTAACCAACACATCTTAGCTCAGTCTCAGTTTAGAGAGGGGGAAAATGCCATCCACACCACCCCAGAGACTCAACAGAGGCGACGGTTGATGCATGCGGCGGCAAACGAACGACAAAGCGGCTTCATGCCTGCTGCAAACATAGCGGACCATTCCCTCCACCATCCCTTTTCTAGCCTTAGAACGGACCCCTGGAGGCGAGTCATCCGCCTAATGCTCACCCCCGAAATTCCTGCGTTACCATTGTCCCCGGTACCGTTCGCCATCTCATTAATACCCAATCAAGCAGCAAAGGTCCGATTATTCATCGCCTCCTGCTGGGAAAGTGGCCATGTTGCCACTTTCTGCCGCCATCCAAGATATTTGGGGCTTGCTGCTGCCGTCGAGTGGTCGAACACATGGAACGCGTCTTGCGCCGAACGCATGGTCGGAAGCAATCTGATGTGATGTTCAAGAAGCCCGAGCCCGAGGATGCCGACTCCGGAGCGGGGGCTACCGGCCGCGATCCGCTCGGCGCGATTATTGGTTTGCAAAAATGCTTCGAGTAACCAAGGGGTTGCCGGGTAATTGTTGATGCGATGTGCTAGACTGTGGTCATGGCTAGACATATCTGCATGACTACGCATCGGTCTCAGTATTGTGTTTGTGAATTCCGACACTGGCCTAGTACCGACCCTGCAACCGAATGAGGTGCATGTGCTTACCCGTGAGACTGCCCCGCGGCGTTGGAGCCTACGTCCACGTCGTCGGACTTGAAGCTCATCTGATGTCAAGATGTTGTTGGCCTTGTGACTTGTCGGGACGGACCGAGCTGCTGTCGAACCAACTGTAATGATGGCTTTGGCCGTTCGTCTGTTCGTTATTCTAGAAGAATGCAGCTGCCAGCCACTGCAGCTTATAAGTGCCTACTTTGAGAACACAAAAAGACGAGCGCTGCTGGTCGTAGGCACGCACCGTTCGTGATCTCTTATACTACGCCAAAGAGACCGATCACTTGCAGAGGCTCGGCGGATATCCCGGTGGCCTCCCGCTATTTCCTCCCTGTCGGCGCCCAAACTGCCGGTACGATGTGGTCCATAGACGGGCTCGGAAAGAGGAACGCTGCAAGATTGCTCGCGTGTGCTTCTCCAGCCTTCTGTACCGTTGGGGGCCAAGGATTGGATCTGTCTGCCTTAGCAATGCCGTGTGACACACACACACACACACACACACACACACACACTTACATCCCCTACTCTATCCTACGACATGGCCAGCCTGATGATGTTGAGAAGCTTGTTTGTTTCTCAGTCGGTCCCATTTCCTTGAACTTTTCTCTCCCTTCCGTAGAACTATGTTGTCGTCATAGGGTTTCTCTGCTGCCAAACTCGAGATCTGACACGTCTAAAATCGGATCACAGTGTTGACGAACTCTCTCGCAAGGACCTCTTCAACCGTCATCTCATCAAGGAAGGAAACTCGAGACCCTGGCATTCATCTTGAAAGTCGATAATCCCAATCTGGCACGCTAGCAGGGCTTCTCATGGCACACTGACGAGATGAGCGAGCCACCCAAGCGGCTGCCGCATCCACAGCCCCAGCCATGACCTGACTTATCCCACAGAATGGTTAACCGACCATCATAGCATCATACAGATGTCGGCGCTTAGCGCTGCTGCCGAATTGTTCTAGAGCTGCACAGCCCCTTCCATTTGCTTTCCTGAAATTCTAGCGATCGTGTAGGTCACTGCGCCTGCTGTCTTCCCTTCAGGCCGGTCCGCCGAGATTATCATGCCTTTGCCGGCCGTAGCTACATAGCCTTCTTCCACAGCTATTTAGTCCTATTCTCACGATGCAAGTCCAGTAAATATGCATGGCGACGCCTCGATGCAGCCTTAATTTAGCGAGCTCATACCCCAGTGCTCCCGATTCAACCAACAAGAGGCAGGTTGCATGCATAACCTGTCACCGTCGTCAATGTAGAGTCGACTGTTCTCCCAGTCCATCCTGTAACATCCTCATCGCCAATGTCCGAGAATTGCGTTGTCCACCTCGTCCTCGTCCTCGTAGTAGTATAGCAAACAACGCAGCCTGATATGTATGTCCAGGGGTTTTTACACACAACTATTCTTGCTTCCTGCTTCTATGGCCCCCACCCCCGCCAATATCCGAAAGCTCAGCTCCACGAGCTGTAAGCACTAAACTATCCACTATTGATGCTGTGCTTGCGCCGTTTGGCCCCCGAATAATATGCTACCTCTGCCCTGCAACAACCATGTCATCTCTAGATCCTAGAAGAAATAGTAACGTGACGGGTAAAAAGTGAAGGTAACCTAACCTACACTTTACGGACCGGAAGCCGATTCTCAGCCTCTTGGTTACCTCCATCAACCCAAACAGAGCAAGTTACCTTCTACCTCAATCGGCCGTCCGGGGATCCAAGGCTGTGGTCTTGGCATATCGTAGCTCAGAGATACAGTAGAGTTGGCTAACGTTACATCTTGATGGCTCTCGAGGCAGGCGTGGTCGAAACTAGGCTCTTTACTCCCGTTGGCGCTGTTATGGATTTGGTCCAATGCGGTTCACCCTCTTTCTATAGGTCATTGTATGCCATTGACTGATACCGCGACAATGTAGTATGTTCTCTTTATGCGAGAAGTAAAACAAACTGGTGAGTTGAGGTGATATGATCATCGCTCGGTGATAGAAGAAGCCGATCATATTCGGTACCAAAACGCTGGGCTAAGTATCTTAAAGTCTTTGCGCCATCATATGCAATGATGCAAAAGCCCAACCTCAAACTCCTCTTCCCTCCAGTACGAAATCTTCCAGTCCTAGGGCCAATGAGAACGCCCTAATAATGCAATATGTAAAATGAAGTATCGCTTTTATAATCCGCTTCCCAAAAATATCGATAGCGCTTTTGATCCGTTCTAAGTTTCCCAGAAATATCCATTTACTCCTCCTCAACTACAATCGGCTGATAACGCATCTGCAGCACCCATTTATTGTCAAAGTCAATGCCTCTTCGGATTTTAGTGCCTGCTTTCTTCCAGACGGCGGCACCGAGACCCATGTCGGCAATGAACAGCTTCCAATCCTCGTCCTCGGTGACAGCGCCTTCCGCCTCAGAGTTTCGGATACTGGCCGGATCCGATTCCGAGACAGGTGCCATTGCTTCAAGTAATCCCTTCTTTGGTGCACCCATTGCAACAACGTATCGTGGCTTGACATACAGACGACCGCCGTCGATGATGCTAACCTTACCAGTCGACGGATCAATACCAGTTGGAACGTCGAGTGCAAGCACAAAGGCTTCGTTGCGGTTGGCCCATTCGATCAACTCGTAGACGGTAGCTTGGTCGCCAGTCCGCAACTCCTCGAAGGAGATTGCCAAACCCAACAGGGCGTCGATGATAAGCGTCACCGAGGTCGCCGGATTCGAGGATGACTTGCGTAGCTGCTCGAAAAGTTCTAGTTTGTTGTGGACGCGGCCTCCGAAGTTTTTGAAAATTCGGATTTGTTGCCGCATATCCTCAAGTAGATCCCGCTCGCGCTCAATGCCAACCACACAGACCAGAATATTGAGGCCCTTGTTGCGAAGATGGCGAGCCGCGGCAATCGCTCTGATACCAGACTTGTTGTTGCCGGCAAGTATAACGATAGTAGCAGCAGCAACTGGATTGTCGCTGGGAGCGTTGGCCCCGCCGGTCCCGAGACGAACCTGAATCGCTGGATCTTCCAATGCCCTTAAGGTCACTTCTGCGATGCCTCGCCCGGCGTTCTCGGTCATCATGTCCTCCGTCAGCCCAATCTCGTTGGCCGCAATGTTCTCCAGGTTGAGCATCTGCAGGGCGGAGACGGTTTCTAGGCGTCGATTTGATGGCAAGAGATAGAAGCCGGGTTGAGTACCATGCTGCAGAGAGTTAGTACCAGGAATACTTTGTGAACTATTCTGACGAAGCAACGCTTGGGATTGTCTATTCAGACGTACGCTGGAGTTAACACGATTCAGTGGCTGACTGGTGAGTTGCGCACTCGCTTTGCGAGATTGCGACCTCCTTGCAGCCCCTGGCTTGCTCTCGGCTCTCCGATTACCCTGAGCACTACGGGCATCACGGCCACTTAGTCGGTCAGCTCCATTCACAGCGTCGTCGGCTTCGCTATTCCAGAAGTCCTGGTTCGCCTTTGACGCCGCGGGGGGCAAATCGAGCACATTCTCTGTGTAGTGCAAGTTTTTGCCGCCTGCAGTTCCTGGCTTAGGCTTGCGGTTGTGTGATACCAGCCTGTCCGCCTCATCTACCAAGTCTTCCTTGCGCATCTGGTCGAAGATGGTACGCTTGTCGAACTTGGCAAGACTGCCTTCGAAGTCAAACTCACCCATTTCCTCTGTAACATCTTCAGATGCCCATCCGTTTTCAGGAAGATCCTTTTTACCCTTAACTCCCCGCTTAAGGGAGTTGAAGGGTTGGAATGAGGGAGAGCTCTGCAATATCGGTGTCTGTCTCCAGCCCTTGCCGCGATTGGATGGATTACCACGGGTTGGCGTACTTTCCTGGACAAGCTCCTCGGAAATGCCATTCTTCGAGGCCTTCGCCTTCTCTCGTCGCCTATTCTTCTTCTTTTGCGACGGGCCTTGTATTTCGTGTGCATTTTGTGCTACCGCGTCATCGTCAACGGCGTATTGCCTTGTGGCTGTAGGCGTTGGCTCGTCCACGTACAGTTCCTGTAAAGTCTCGCTGATGCTTTGGCTTGGATCGTCGTTCTTCGGTCCTCCTAGCAGGTGTGCGGCAGCCAGGACCCCGGGCTGCCCTGGTTGAGGGTCCCTCGCCAGGCCCGCGCTCGACTGAGATATTACTTCCGGTAGGAGTTGGCTCTCGCTACCGCTTCTCACGCCAGAGCCAGGCCTTTTTCCCATACTGAGAATCGCGGGGTCGGCGAAGGCCGGCTGCGCGGGTTGGTTGACCACAGGAGCAGGAACAGGACTGACGCCCGGCGCCGTAAAGGTATTAGGCGCAGCGTCGTCTTTGAACTCGGAAAGTTCAAGGATGTTGGCAGCATCGATCATAATTCTGGGGATCCAGTGGTTTGTGCCTACGGTGAAGACTGCAAGTGGTAATTGTTAGCATGTTGCGTCCCCTCAGATGGATGAGGTCGACGACTTGCCGTTCGCCAAAGTAAGGCTGGCGCCAGCTTGTATTTCACTAACAGTGCCTTTCAGCATGGTGCCCTCAGGCTGCCGTAGCGTCACCAGCATTTGCAGGCCGATGAACTCCATCGCGACAGTTGCGTCACAGCGCCCAAATGCTGAGTCGTAGGGTGTATCAGACTGCACCACTCTAGATTTGCCTTGGGCTCTGTGGTAGGGAGAGGTAGCGCGGGTATCTTTTGGTTGCAGTTTGAAATATTGTGCAAGTAGTCAAAGAATGTGGCCGCGGAGTTTGTGTCACGGAGCGAATTGGTGGGGTTCAATGATGCGGTTGAGGTCGGGAGATAAATGTGCGTCGTGATGGAGAATCAGATAGCTCTTTCCCCCAATTCCCCCTCGGACACCATTTACTGACTGGGTTTAGGTCCCCTTAACTTTTTCTTGGCCCAATTCTTATCGATAAGACTGGTGGCTAGGAAACCAGGGTCACGGGGATATTGGTCGATTAGTGGCGGGTAGCTGGTGCAGTAAGACCAGATGAACGTCATGGGCGCAAGCTTCCCGCCAAGGTACATTTTAGCGTCTTGGGGTCAGTACCTTCCAGCACCCAGTGGAGGGAACCACTCGAGGGTGCAGATGTGAGCTGCTGTACAACCAACATCCCCTGAATTCGTCAAGACCGCCGAGACGTCATTGTCAACATGCAGCCACAAAAGTTTCAGTGACTATCTGCTTGTTCATCCACTATCGATTTTTGTGATGGAGTTCCGCTAATTGAACAATGCACACGTCGCTCATTGATGGAGAAATGTGCTGTTGTCTCATGATGTCTTGTGGATTGCGTTTAAAAAACAGAGCAGAGGCGGTTTTTATCCCCGAATGATGGGCTCCTCAAGAACTAATACAGGGGCGTCGAAGCCTAGCACTAGCTATTTCCAGACCTTAAAGTGAACCTCTACCAAACCTTGCCGGGGCCATTTGAGCCCGCTATAGTTGATCTCCTTAACGCCATCAAATGCCTTGTAACGTGTTCGTAACCCAAAGCTCAATATCCGTAGCTCGCCATGGCCTCCTCCGCGTCATCGAGGTCGATCACTTCAACGCCTTTTTTGACAAACGACTGGGTTTTTGAGTTGGATCCTAGAGTTATCCTGCTATCCTTCGTCTCGTCATCTCTATGTAGGAAGTCGGCCATGCTGGGCGGTTTTTTGGCGACGGCCTGCTCAGCACTATACAGCTTATTGTAGAACTGTATGACTCGAGGATGGGCCATGACTTTGTCTTTCTGGAAACGTAGCACCTGCAGGCCTTGTTGGCAGGTCGCTCGACTGAGCGCGACATACGCCTGGCCTTTCTCAAATACTTTGCCGAGGTCAACTTTCACCCTTTCGAGCGTCTGCCCCTGGGCTTTATGGATCGAAAGTGCCCATGCGAGTATCAAAGGGAGCTGGCTGCGACTAGCTTGCACCTCTCCCGTTGGCGTTTCGACCTTCCAGTCCTCCGGGACGCAAAGAATAGTACGAGTAGAGCCGTCTACCGCGGCAAACTCAACTACCGGATACTCAATCGTACCCTTTGTGGCTTCTTCAACCTCCCTGCTGAAAGCCTTAATCTTGTTCTTGAGCTTTCCTTCATTGTCCATCTCCACGTCGGATCCATAGTCCGTCATATGCCAGGACTCAAAGCTGCCCTCGCTCATGAACCGAGTAACTTTTCCAAGTGAGCCGTTGACAAGTGTCTCATCCATGTTCTTGATCAACATGACCTGGGCCCCTACTTTCAGTTCGAGAGCTTTGGGGGCCATCATATTTTGAAGCAGCCTGTCACGAATAGTCGGGTCCCCAGAGTCAGCTGCGTCGTAACGGTAAGTCTTTCCTGGAAGGTTGCGCAGCCGGCCTTGGTTGGCGTTCTCAACTTCATATCTCGTAGGGAACAGCTCAGTCACCTCCAACCCATCATCGGAAACAATGGGCCGCGTTAGCTTTCTGAATGCTTGGACAGTTTCTTCACTGATTCTGCCCAAACGCATCTCATTAAGCATGTTGGCGAAGACTAACCTGGTCAGCACGGTTGACAGTACGATATACTCTCTTTATACAACTCACCTGGGTCCCTCTGTCGAAATACTTGTGTTAATCCGATCGTGTGATCGATTGCCGTGTTCCATGTTGCTGCCTCGAACGCAAACTTGGATTCTCTTGTCTTGTCACCGTCAGGAACTGGGGGAAGTTGGAAGAAGTCTCCTGTGACAACAAGCTGGATGCCGCCCCAGGGCTTGCCATTATTTCGTATCGTTCGGCCAATCTGGGAAAGTTTGTCGAACAGTTCTCCGTCAACCATTGATACCTCATCGATGATGAGTGTTTTAGTCCTGAGCCAGCGGTTCTTGGCCTTAGGGTTACGTCGAATCTTTTTGACCAGCGTTGGCACATCGTCTTTCCCAAGACCAATTCCGGAGAAGCTGTGCAATGTCTGGCCACCTATGTTGCAGGCTGCAAGGCCGGTAGACGCGGTGACGGCCAATCTCTCTGGATCTCTTGTCCACTTTTTCTTCAGTTCTGTGATGATTGACCTCATCAAAACAGACTTTCCAGTTCCTGCAGGGCCTGTAAAGAAAACGCTCTGACCCTTGTTAATAACGAGGTTCTGTACATGTTTCTGCTCTTTAGTCAGTGCAATCGCCGACGCCTTTGGCTTAGACAGATTGCTCTGTGTAACCTCTTTCCTCATCTCATCCATGGTCCACTCGCCATCCATGGACTTTTTGGCTTGGTTCTTGAGATTTCTCTTTTGCTCTTTAAGAGCGCTGGCGGTCATGTTCCAGGTCTCCTTCTTTTTGGGCGCGGGTGTGACTCCGCCTGGCGCCCAACGTGAAACCTCGGGCTCATCCTCCTCTTCAACATTAATTATATCCTCCTCCTCAACCTTCCAGCTGTCTGGAAGCCGTCGCTTCTTAGGTTGTGGAGCTGTGAAGGACTCTTGCTGTTCAAAGGAGTCGCGCTTAAGAGATGTCTGAGTAGACACTGCCCGATCTGAGTTGGCACGTGCCAGTTTGGGATGAACAAAATGAGAGGCCGGCGATGAGGACCAAGGCAACGGTTGGGTCGAGGGCAGTTCGGCATGTGACTTAGAGGCAGGCAGTTCAGGTGCATGTACCACCTTTACTGGAGGTTTGGGAAGCGGGGGCAGGGCTGAAGGTGCCTCAAAGTCAAGGTCAAGATGGTCATCGTCGCTGAAATCGTCCTCGGCGAAGTATACAGCAGGTTTTGGTTTTGTTTGCGTGTCTTGGCTAATCGCAGTATCTGGTTCATCTCGAAAGGAGTCGGATCGGGAGTATAGTGAGGCGAAAGATTGGCCATTGGGTGCGGAGATGGGATCCAAGGCAGATCGGTCGCTACTTGCGAAGTGTGTAATACTCGCAGTTCTGCCTGGCGGTGGCCTAGTCGGGTTTGTTGTCGTCGAGGGGTTTCTCGCGGTCCTCGCCGATACAGCCGCAGCAGTGACAGGCTGGCTCGTCCTCTTGAATTGGTTCATAATATTGCCATTCTGAGTGGCACTCGGGCTGCTCGAAGGGAACAACTGCTTGGCTAAATCATTCTTCGTAGGAGGAGGAGCGTTGGCCTCGTAGGCCTTTTTCGCTCTGGACAACATTGAATCTGGATCTAGATCCGGATGGGGGCCAGAGGTGTGGACATGAGCAATTCGGATGGCTCTCTGAATAGTTCGGCGGAGTATCGGCGAGGATCCAGGATACAAGAGGCTGGTTATTCCAGCCGGCATCCAAAGGGGTCGATTGTTGACATTTGTCGTAAGCGTCGTTGGTAGAGAGGGCGTTCGTTCCCTTGTCGCAAACTACCAAAAGGAAAGTTTGGACCCAGATTACCCAGTCGCAAGTGTGGCCAGCCAAGGAGGCGCGCCTCGGCGCGTCGAGGTGTGATTTTCGCGCTAATGTTGAGGAGGGGCAATAAAGATAGCTGACTCATCGAATTGGTCTCTACAACTACAGCGTATACATACACCAACTGTACTGAGACGCCCATTCCTGCAGTCTCCTTCACAACATAATTAGTATGCAAACACTATTCTTTGAAGCAGTGGTTGGTCAGTTCGCAGTTGATCCTAGATATCTCGACCGGTAAACAGGAATGCTACGCCGATTGTAAGCCTCAGGTCTACATACCTGCACCATAACCTCCTCCATTTATTTACCTAGGCCAGCACGGCCAGGCAGACTTTCCCATTTGAGCCAATAGTGTACTGTCTTGTTGTCGTTATTGGCTGATATGTGCCCACGTTCACGGCGACTCCTCCTTCCCGCATACTGAATCTGCGCCTCGCTGCACTGTCGTCGAGTTGACTTGTCTGGAATACCTGCTCGCCTCGCCTTGGGCGCTCGATCACCAACAGTCGCAGATTCGGCGACTGTTGTTTAGGCAGAATGGCTGGCAGTGCTCATTCGTGACTTGCCACTACTTATGAGAGCGCTCGCCCTCCTTAAAAGTGTTGTCGGCATGACAGGCTTGTCACAATGCCATCACTCCCCATTCTGTTTCTGGCAATAATCTTTGTGAAAACCGATGGTTTTCATACTGACTTTGTATAAAAGCTTTTTGATATACACAATGCCACCAGCTGCGGTACCAACAAGAAAATACAGAAACCGGAAGCGCATTAACCCCGATATCCCGCTGGGATGAAAGAGTTTCGCCTCGTACCTCGCCCAAGAGAATCAAACGGATTGTCAAATTGAGATTGCGCCGGACGCTCCCGAATCCTCATGTAGTCTCGAGCAGCTTCTTCCTCATATGTTTCTGTAGGGCCTTGTCGGTAATATGAATCTCTGTCAACGGACGGTCGACGGAACCGCCTCTCCATATGTCGGCGGTTTCGCCTTTCAATCTCATCCCTTTCCGCCGCCAATTCCTCCTCATAGCACCGCTCTTCTTCAGTACGGACCTCGCTTTCGAGTCTCAGACGTCTAATATTGTCAAGGTCATCCTCATGTCTTTGACGGACCACCTCTTGAGGACCTACTGTCCTGAAACTGACATCCCGCTGGGTCACCCGAGCTGGTAGTGTAGTTCGACGACGGTTCAATATGCCAACCAGAGGATCCTCGACGTTGTCAAGCCCGTATGCATCCGATCTGGCTGTTAGCCGACGAGGTACGAAGTTTTCTCCGCCAGTAAAGTCTCGCCCAGCAGGCATCGGCAACGCCGCAGGGGAAATCGGAGCGGCAATCGCTCGCCCGAGGGGAAATTCTCTTTCGAGAAGGTAATGTTCCCCACGATCATGTTTCGTATGATGGCGAGGTGCCTTGAGTCCGTATTCCTCTGGCCGGCCACGACGGCGGCTACGACTATGGCTACGGCTGCGGCTACGGCCTCGACTGCGATGGCGGCGACGGCCATGCCTGGAACCCGACGATCCAGTCACCGATGAGTCTGGTGTATCTTCCGTATCACTCCAAGAGGCGTTCGAGGAGTCAGTGCTTCTGGAACTTCTTGAACCGCTTGAAGAGACGTTGTAAGTCTTTGATTTGCCCTTCCTTGGGTCATTGTGAACTACTTTGACCACGGTATTGGGATTTTCACCAAATGGTGGACGAGCAGGTGGCATGGGCGGGTGAAATGGTTGTTGTGGTGGGTGAAGGCGCGCTTGATGCATTTGTTCCCGTTGCTGCATTATGGTTTCTGATTGGTGCCGCTCTTCTTGAATTTGTCGCTGGATCTGAAGTTTCCGGGCTTCATTATCCCTCTGTCGGATCATGGCCTCTTCGCTTTTCTTGCTGCGGTACATATCCAAAGCGTTCTCTTCAAAGCGAGGTTCTTTCTTGAAGTATACTATTACGGCCACCGTTTCGAACAAGTTCTTCTTTGACTTGGAGGTAGAGGATCTCCCTTTCGCAACCACGACCTTCTTCGCTCCCCTGTCAGCCATGTATTGCTGATACTCAATGGAGTCCTTATGCAGTTTTTTCAATTTAGAGCTGATCTGCTGTAGAGTAAAGCGATACCGCTTGTCGTTGTTCCGCGTCTCCAGGGCATTCTGTGCCTTTTCGATTTGGAGTTGTTGAGCTGGCGTAAGGTCCGTCTTCTTTTGCAAAGCTGTTTTGCCTTCATCGTTGAGCTCACGAATGCGACGGATGATGTCTTGTCTGGACAGGTCGCGAACCTCTACTCGCCTCACGTTCTCCCAGGTTGGCATAACTGGGTAACCTTCAACATCAATCTCGTTGGGATCCTGGACCTTTTCGAAACGATAGACGATATATTCTGAGAGAGCTTCACGCGCGCCGGACTCAGTCATTCGTTCGCCCCGGAGATCAGAAACCTCGATCAACTGTCTTTGGCGCAGATCTAGAGGAATTTGCTCACGCGGAGGCTGTACTGGCATCTGTTGCATTGGCATTTGCTGCATCGGCATCGGTTGGGGCTGCATATGGACTATAGGAGGTGGAGCTCCTGGCGGTGCTGGCGGTCGACCCGGAAAGGACGCTCCCATAGGGGGCCTCCCTGGAGGGGGAGGAGGCCCTGGCCTGGCACCAGGAGGCCCTCGTCCAGGAGGCGGAGGTGGAGGAGGAGGGCCGTTTTGCGGCATTCTTGCTCCCGCAGGATGTGGTGGTGGTTGAGGAGGCGGCGGCGGGCCTCCTCCTGTAAGATTGATAACTCCTGGTGGAAGAGGCATCTTGAGTATGAGTAGTGCGGCAACGTTTGGAAACAGAGAAGAGACTCGGAAAGTTAAGGCGGAGGTAAGTGTTGGTTATAAAGGCACGTTCGACATAAACTAATGCGAGGCGAAAGTGCAGCGGCAAGAGAGGAACAAAGTGCGAAACGAGGAAGCTCGTTTCCCAAAAGAAAAACACAGATTGACTTAAGACCGAGAATGTTGATGGCAAAAGTGAGGCGAACCACTGCTCCGCAGGGGGGGTATATGAGACAAGAGTTGAAGAATGAAGAGGGTGTGAAGGTGTACTCTCTCGCTGCCTTTGTCTACGCGGAAGATCGCAGACTACAAGGCTTAATAACCAGTTCGCCGGTAAGGTTGATATGGCACCCAGAGCTGCCAAAACAATTATATGACCAACGTAGGTTTCTTGAAATTGAACCTAACTTTGAAAACGGAAGACGGAGGCATTCTCTATCGATGAGAAAAGTGACCGAAGCAGAAGCGGAGAAGTCAACTTTTAAGAAGCGGCTATCAAATAGAATACGACCCTTGCCATCGGGAGAACGTTTCTCGCTACCACCATCGAACCTACCCAAAGACGTTTGGAGACACCTCTTCTATCGGCCGAGCGAATCCTCGCCAGGCAACCATTTCCATCCTTGTCGGTGAGATAGTGGTGGGCATCGCCGCTCACCTTGTCTCGGCAGCCTGGCCTTTGAGAGCGGTACTTTCTACGCCTAAAAATCCTTCGAAAGGAGTATCGTCTTCTGCTGGCAAAAACACACAAGCAGTTGCGGCTTCCACTCAGCAAGACACAGACTTGTGCTTTACAAGCTTAGCATAGATTCAGACTTTGGCATTTCTCAATACCGGCATCGCGTACAGCCTGGGAGCCTGTCCTGGGACTTAATGGTTATCAACCGTTTGTATGAAGGACTACAGACTGAATGGGGGATTTCTTTTGAAATTTCTTCTTTCTTTTGTCTTGCTTATCTCCTGTGTTTTCAAGGTACCGACTGCAACCACCTACCCCGCCACTAATTCGCCTTGTCCCGAGATGGGCGGGATGGTACATCCCGACAAGATCACCTGGTTTGCAACAGTCCGCAACGAGGCAACCAGCCAGCTGGACAACCATCGCAGCGAAAGGCTCACCGAAGCCTTCTGTGCCTCCTCCTAGAGCCAAGGGTGGTTGCGTAGTGTTATGCACACTTGCGCAGACGGCATGGCGAATAAACGCAACCTCAGGCCGACATACATAGCCTCCTTAATTGGGTTTAGAATTCTTACACTTTTTGAGGCGCATTCCTGACCCCAAGTCGACACCCTCTTGGAGTTGATCTGGAGGCCTCCAATTGGCAGAAGACGAGTATCAACTGACCAGACAAGGTGAGCCATCTTCGACTTGCATGAGGGTTACAGAATAGTGTATTTTTCCAGCCAATTACCCTCCCACGCCATGATTGTCTGGGTAATATTCTACCTGCCCTCGGTCATAAGATGGGAAACCATGTAAACGACGATCGCTGTCGGTCAAGAACCCAGTAATGCACGTCTTGCTGCATTGCGCCCGTCATCACCGGGGAACGGAGAAGCTCATCTCTTCTCTGATTTCAAGCACAGTACTGTGTTCGGCGCTGCGAGATGGGGAGTGGCCCCTTGCTGTGCCTCGCAGCACAACTCGATCACAAAGCTCTCGCAAAGTTGCCGAGAATTGCCTGCGGCGCATATTGACTGAAGGACATGAGGTTTACAAGCCTGACACGATTTCGTCCGCTACACTGCTTTTACGGCATGCCTTATCTGTCCGTCCATCTACAATGACGGCACTCCAACTCTGCAGATCTGTCATATTCGGCATCCGCCTCATGTGGACGACAACGGATGAGACAAGCGACTATCGGTCTCAGTCGTCACCGCAGAGCCGCACTTCGACAGGTGTCAGTAGGCGCTTGTACTTGACGGCTCGCTTGGCTGCCGGCATTGTGTATGGAAAGTTAGATGGAGCTTCAGCTCCAGGCCTTTTCTGAAACGAGCCACACCAGAAGTCGAGAGAGTAATTGTCTTGGATGCAACTACGCCTGACTGAGGCAGACGTGGGCATCACCACAGTCGATGGGGGTCCAGAGACCACCACGTTCCAGTGGCTGCATACCGTCCAGGACGCTGATCCGCGACTGAAATATTTCATCAGAATGCTATCTTACAAGTGGAGTACACAAGCACTTTCTAGCTTCGGCGCTGCTTTCGGGTCCCATCATATCCCTCACCGTAGTTCTTATCGTATAGATTCGACCTTCCTACTTTTACAGAGTTTTCAGCTGCAACAAGTTACTATGCCAATGGATGGTTGCATATCAAGCGTTTTGTATGCCTCATCCGAGAGGGCATGCTAAACCTCTTAAGGCTGCTCACTTCATGTGCCAATCGCCTGTTCTAGGACATCAACCCGCCCAGCATTCTCACAAGGACGACCTGGAGCCTTCAATAGATATCATGCGAAGCAAAATGCTTTCTGGTACACAAAGAAAGCTATCTTGGACACATTTATTCTACCGACTCACTCGGAGCCTCACTATTCGTCAATGACAGTGGGCGGTGTCAGCATGCCAGCACTGAACCTGATTTTTCTTGGTACAGTAATCTCAGATGGTTGATACGCTCTCTCGAGATAGACCACTGCCTAAACATCCAATACTTCGAATAAATCAGATCTAACCTGCTTCTAGAATGCCGTCACTGGGTATTTTCGCCAATCGATTTTCTCCCAGAAGGCGATCGTGCGCCGTCGGTGAACCTCACAAGAGGAATATGTTTAACTCCATGCACCGAGGATGCCGCACCACCCATACCACATTCGTCAGGCTACGCCCGGCCAAGCGGTCAGCGTCGTAGATGGCGCGAAAAACATTTCTGCACTTTGGTATTGATGGCTTGCGGGTTCACCCAGCAAGGCCATTAATCCGCTCGTTGCCTCGTCGTTGCCTCGTTCAATGTGTGACGCGGCTCCGGACACTCCTGGCTTCTAGACTTACGAGTATATTGCATTTCTGCACAATACCCTACTCAGTGATTTGTCCTTCGGAGGGTTTTTTCCTTATCTACAAGTCGGAGTGAGGCCGCGTTGATGCCCGACGAGTTTTGCGGTTCAGTAATTTAGTCTGATGCCTGTTTCACTGCATTCGGTGAGAGCTAATCCAATCTCTATATGATGATCTGTTCAGTGAACGTCTAGTATGTTGATTTAACAGCATCTCATAATCTAAGTGGCTTGAAGCCTTGGTCACAGAAGTAGCACATTCAGCATTGCCTTGGGTAAGTTGAGCCTACTTCTCGACAGCTGGTCTCGGCGGCAACGCCAACGTCAACATCATGCCATTTTCCCTCTGCATTGACTGAAGCGCTCTGTTCCATTAGTTCTCATGGTATGAGTTTAATACTGCGAAGTATTATGCGAAATTTTCTTTAGAAAGAAAGGATGATTTGTTAATAGTATTAGGACCACTTCAACCAGAGTAGGTCCTAGGTCAGAGACCATAGTTTTTCAGACTTTTACCTCTGTGATTACCACTTGAGTTACTAGCTTAGATTAAAAAAAAAAAAAAAAACAGGCTGTTGTCTTTCACTTCCAGGCATCATGGCACGGCATATGTAGTCTTAGCTCCATGCATGACATTGCACATTGGTGACAGAATGTGCATGGGTTTCACGCGGAGACATCCTCTGAGTCTTTCAGCACATGCAGCTTTGATGTACTGTCAGAATATGCATTGAGTTGTGCCCCTCTTTGGCCATCACTACATGTTAGCTTGCCATTTGACAGAAGCATCTGCTTCCATCAGTATCACTTCTTCCCCACCATCCCTCATCCTTCTCCCCCCATCTCTCTCCGTGGGGTACTGCTGAAAACATGACATGAGAACAAGAGGCTTACCCCCCCCCCCCCCCCCCCCCCCTTTTTTTTTGGTATCAATCGTGTAAATGTTTCCACATTTGTACTACTTGACCCAGAGATGTGGATAGAGAGGCTTTAAATCACTACCAGATTTACATTATTTTGACTTATCTGGGTATCAATTCTCAAACGCGGGCTTAATAATTCCTTTCTAGAAGTACACAGATTGTTACTATTAGCACTTGGTTCTCTTACCTTACAGTGCTTTAAGGTCATGCTGGTATTGTGAACCTCGGCTTGTTCGAAAAGGTATAAGCCGGCTTGCCACTTTTTGAATGCATGAACCACCTAGTAAGACTAACATATACAAAAGTAAACCACCTACGTATCAGGTTTGTAGACAGTCCTGGTACCGCTGCATGCGCGCTTTTTCGTTTCTCAGTGAAAGGCCCACTTGAAGAACAACTTGACGAACAAAGGTTCAAACGTTTCAAGGCAGAGAGCTTTACCTTGACAGTTCATGCCGCTGATTAGTATTGCCGAACTTGGATCCCTAGTGTAGGTAAACCATAAACCAAGATGCTCAAGACCTGTGTAACTGGGAGCGAAAGATCTTCCACAATTTCACTGGAAACTGAGAATTGTTTCCATTTCCTATTGTCTTAACTTTGATCTTTTTTCCAAAACGGATGTCACCTACTCTAGCCAAGTGCCTTATCCACACCACTTCGAAAGTGGTTAGCTCTCCCTTTCAATAACATAGAGATACGTTTCTTGCCTTTTTATTTCAAAATTACACTGATGACCCTTTCAAGGTATCTATGTCATTGTTGCATTTCGCACTACAGCTGTTCTCGCTATTCTCATGTCTGACCTTCGTTACAGCCCCGATTACAGTATCTGGACGAGGTTTAAGATCATACAGTATCATGTCAAATGCGCCTGTCGAATGCTCAGCCAGGGGCAACGGCATGACTGATAGAATTTCAGAGGAAACCCCGAGGCGGAGTATTTGCGAAGTAGGCCGAAACGTTAAATTTGGATTAGATATGGATACTCCAATTCTAAAATTGGTCAGGTTCGTTTTCAGACAGAAGGTTAGAGACAGGCTTCGTTTGAAGTCGTGAGTTCTACGCAGCTAACCCCAATCAGTCGTGGGATCCGATATTGAAGTTCGTCCAACACACGACCTGTCTTATCTTGACGTGCCGTTGGTTCATTACAACGAAGGCTACTTTATTGGGTTTTCTCATACAATCTTTATGAGTCAAGCAAGTGTCATGACAACCAGTTTCCAACGAGTTAGGCACTTTTTGCTAAACATAAAGTTTACTCGGCATAAGCAAGTTCATAGGACTGGTGTCAGCGAGCATCAGATGCGAGCCCAGATAGAAAGCCGTTTTGCAAGACTCTTGGTCTTGCCATACCGCAGTATACCGCCATCTTTAACCCACTGGACAGTCAGACCATCTTTCTATGTAGAAAGCCTACAAAAACTAATTGAACAAAACCCCGGTTCATCTATGTTACTGTTGGTTGCTACGATGCCATCCAACATCACCTTTCGTCCCCCCACGCCGAATTTAGAACGTTTAGACTTGTGTTACAGCATCACCCCGCACCGACCCGCGTAGAAGAAGGAAACATTGCAATCAGTCCACTGACGGCTCAAATTATAGCCCTAGATTGCCGAGGAATCGGCATACGCCTGCCACCCGAAGTGTGTCGCTCCCAACGACCAGTCCCCGCCGCCAGGGAGACAGACCTGTAACAAACAAGTACTAATAATTGCCCCCGAGGTTCGCCTCGATGTAACGATCAAGGAATTAAACGCAGAAACAGGGCCTTTCGTGGTACCCACTTAGCTGGAGCGACTTACTATGTGCGCTGAAGAAGTAAGGTTTGAAACCCGGGCATCCACAGTCTTTTGGCTCAGACCAAGCGTCGGCCTCCAAGCGACCTTATACATCCAATCTAAAACCCTTGGAATGGCCGCGTCCAGCATGCTTCCCTGTTGGGTGTTCACACCATCTTAAGCTTTTTCTTTGCGATGTTCCAAGCATGGAAGCCGTTCGCTTGCAGGGAAGCTCAAGTCTGAGCTTTACTCGGGTGTGCGAAGGCAGGATAGGATATTTCCGCAGCAAAGACCAAGTAATATCGATCTAAGTTAACAGCATGGGAATCTAACCGGACCGTGCCGACTTTTCCTTTTTGCTTCACTCTCCGGTCCTTGGCTCGCTTGAATCCCGTCCCATAAATCTCTCGCGCATTTCGGGGTACTCCGGTCCAACTAGGTTGGACAGATGCTTGTTCTTTCGAGGGGAATAGACGGATACGACTCAAACTTATTGTTCACATCATCCTTAAGAGCAACAACTACAATTGCATTCGATTGGAGTTTTCTTGAACGTTGTCTCTTCTCCATGATTGTACATAGGAGTTGCACGTGCTTTCTTGGCGAGTTGTCATCTCGATTTTGGTGTAAGACGTCATGTGGAGGGGAGCCGCTCTGGTCGCCTGGCTAGCCGCAGCTGTTTCGTGCGCACCGTCGCCTCAGGACCTAAAGACCGATATTACCATCCTTCGAGACAATGATCTTCTAGGTTAGTAGCAAGAAGCGCCTCTTGTCAAAGAATATGTCAAAAAAATTAACAGGAGGATTCTCTAGACTTGAAGAGTCCGTCAGCAAATTCCAGTGCTCTCTTCTTTGGCGAAGCTCTAACACTCGATGATGCAAAGGCCACCTGCAAAGAGCTCGGGGAGCAATTGTGGTCTCCTGATTCGAACAGCATCCAAAGACTCCTAGCTATTCTCGATTATCGAGAGAAGAATGTACCTGCGATCTGGGTCGCAGAAGAGAAAGACAGCAGCGATACTAGGGCGATCAGTTCCAAGGGGGTTCTGTCTTCTCCTAGTGCCTCTGACGCTCTTCCGGCGTTGTGTACGCATACGGCGCCATTTTCCAACGGTGTTTCTCAGGATACAAGCAATCAGTGGCAAGTAACGATACACTCAAACAACGATGATATACTTGGATTCCGAGACAGAAATAGCTTTCGCTTCCAGGGCTTGCGATACGCCTCGAAAACGACGCGATTCACATACCCGAAGCTATACACTGGCTCCGGTGGCAACGCCTCGGCCCTCGAATACGGCTCCCCCTGCTACCAAGGCTTCGGCGGCAATGAAGACTGCCATTTTTTGAATATTTATACACCCTATATTTCACGGTCTAGACAAACAGACAAGAGGCTCCGGCCAGTCATGTTCTGGATCCATGGAGGAGCTCTTACTAGTGGGTTTGGCAGTGATCCAATGTTTGACGGAGGGAACCTTGCCTCACGGGGTGATGTCGTGGTCGTTACCATAAACTACCGTTTAGGAACATTGGGGTTTCTGGCTCTCGATGATGACGTAACGAACGGAAACTATGGCCTTGCCGACCAGATTGTAGCATTGGATTGGGTCCAAGAGCATATTCGTGATTTCGGAGGAAACCCAGCAGAAATCACCATCTTTGGGCAATCCGCTGGCGGCGCGTCTGTCCGCGCTCTAATGGCGTCTCCCAGAGCAAAGGGCAAGTTCGCCGGGGCCATCCCTTTAAGCAGTTTGGGAGGGTTGACGTATGGGAAGTCTTATGCCAAGTACTTTTCCATCACCAATGAGATGGCAGTCGTTGGGAACACTATTCTCGAAAGTGCGAATTGCACCAAAGCCAAATCGAAAGTTGACTGCCTCCGTCAATTGCCAGTCGAAAAACTTGGCTTCGGTGCCCGCTATATGGTTGTAGACGGCAAATACCTGACATCTGATGAGCTACAGCTTAATGGGGATCCTATAGACGTCCACCTCATGATGGGAATCACTTCAGAAGACGGCTTACCGTTTCTCATCTTTCCGCAGAACGGCACCGTTCCCAATATCACATCATGGCTTACATCTCAAGGTCTTCCAGACCCCCCGCCGGATCTTTTCCCTCCGCTTAAGACTAGTAACAAAACGCGGGCGGCATTTGGAGTTGGTGCGCAACTGGCGACTGACGCCATGTTTCGCTGTATCGACCAGGCGACGGTATATGCCGGACTCAACAGCGGCGTGCTTGGTTCGAAGGTGTATTATTACGAGTATGAACGGACATACCAAACATTGGAGTGGCCAAGGCTCGACATCTGCGAAGCGCCGAAGTCTGAGGAACATCCTACCGGCGATCCTGAATCATCTACAAACAACTTGAGATGCCATTCCGGGGACCTGATTCCAATGTTCGGTAATCTTGCGCGTCAAGGACTGCCGTTTCGTGATGAGAACGACTTGCCATGGGAGCAGTACATGGTCGATACATTCTCTTCATTTGCGAGGACGTACGATCCAAATCCAGACAAGGACTTCTTGCGAGCAAGGGGTTTCAATAGTACACTGGAAGCACTCGAGAAGTCAGGCCCCTGGGAGCCATCTGTTAAAGATGATATGAAGATGAGGTTGTTTGATTGGCCGGTAGATGATCAAATGATGAGAGGTTTCAAGGACATAGAGCAGTGCAAGTGGCTGAACCTACCGCTAGATTTCTACATTTAAGTACATAGTTAAGGGGTGGAAAGAGAGGCTGCATAAAGCAATCTGTAGTTGCAAAAGCGGGGGTCCTTCTTGGTACACATTACTGGTAGATCGAGAAACTACCAATCTTATAGATCTACACTTAAGGTATATTGGCATCATCCAATTGCGCCGGTGGGGCAGATGCCTCTATCATGTTCATGTAAACTGTCAGACAAGTCTGGATAGAGCGGAAGTTGCGAACAAGGACTTGCTACCACTCCTACATTCCGCCACCAACAAGTCGATTCTAAGTGAGCGGTTAAGATTGTGGCTGTGGTTAGTTCAGACGTGCTTCATTGGGCCACGAAGCAAACCCCCTTCCACCACCCTTGCGCCCCTGACGGCATACTGTTGGCTGATAATATGCACATCTCCCTCGGCAGGGTAGCCTGCAGTCACAAGGCTGATTTCATACAATCAGATAAACGCAAGACCACCCACCTCCTCCTTTCCGTGCCATGGACCAGACATCAAATTCTAGGTTTGGCTACTCTTTCGGCGTAAGCCTCTATGCTGAGAATAGTTTCGGATTATGATGGAGGCAGCAATTGGCATCGTCGGCCTCTCTATACAATTGATCGACTCCGCCGTCAAGGTGAAGCGAGTTGTCGGAACCTATCGCTCTGCCTCGACTGAGATCAATCGTCTGGCTCTTAAAGTGGAACGGGTTGAAGCGATATGCGGCGCCATCAAAAGAAGTTTTGAAGGTGGTGTCTCGAATTGGCGGTGCTCTGAGCTCATTGAGACGTGGGGAGTATGCGTTCTGCGAAGCATTGAGTCGACACTCGCGGAGCTCCATGGCATCATTATCAAACTCGAGCGGCGAGCATCACAAAAGCGTGGTTTGCATACAGTTGGGTTCTCTTTCTTGGAAAGGAAGGATGATATACGGCGTTTGGGCTCTTGCCTAGATGAAGACCTGAATCATTTGCAGCACATGATGACTGCAGAGATATTGTGTGTTTCGTATCGAAGCCTCTGAAAAGAATATTTACTAATTACCGGCAAAGCTCACGTTGTGGGGTTGTTGAGCAGTTAGTCTTGCCACCGCAAGGGGCCCAGATCGTTTTACCGAAGCGCCAGGCATCACTGCTGTCTGAAATTACTCCATGTTCAGCAGCATTTAGAGATCACACTTCGTCCGTCGTCATTGAAAAGATTCACCGCCAAAAGATCCATAGAATCGGCTTGTTGGGTGACGTAAAGACGGCTATGGTGACGAAGAGGTCCCGTTGGCAACAGTCCGATGAACAAATTAACGTCAAAGAATCCAAGACATACTCCTTTGGTCTTCGAGGGCTTGCTTATCGCATCCTGTTCAGCTGGAAACTGGACACCATAACACCTATATCCTACGCTCTCAATGTGCAGCACATAGTATCGAAGGAAATCGATAAGACGAGATTCGAAAAGCTTACAAAGATTATAGAATATGGGAATTTATCCGGTCTTCAGCAGATGCTGATTACCCGCGAAGTCACCCTCACTTCTTTCATTGACTGCATGACTCTATTCGAAGTATTATCCACAGGCCTTTTGTGATTTAGATCGACCACAGTACTAACGATGTGTAATGAAGTTCGCGGCTGGTTTTCATCAGCCAGATATTTGTCGTTTCTTGGCTCGGCAGAATCTTCGACAATGCCTAGGCGAAGAGTGAGTAGCCCCAAGCTGAGAATGTAGCAAAGCTAATACTGTGCTAAGTATTTGCCGTCCTCCTCCTCCTGGATATACAGTCGGTTGTATTCGATATCTTTGCGATCCTACACCCTCAAAGCGGCTACGTCTGCTTGAGTAAGACGATACTTTTCTCTCTATAGGCATACCAGCTACTACAAGAATGAAGTGGCTACGTGCATTTGAGTTGGAACCTAAATGGTTCTTTCCACATTACCAGCGGATTCGAGATTCCCAACTTGATGAAACCGAAAGAGAAGCTTTCCTCAATGAAGCCTGGGATGCTTCAATTGCCGTGTTTGCAAATGATGCACGAAATCCGTCTTGCTGGCTGCCGGATGAATGGGCAATAAGTCTGTGGACAGGTGTTTTCAGCACTCTTATCAAAGAAGGCGTCGACATTCATAAGATGTGCAGTTCTCACGGGATTCCCAACCTGACAGACCATCACGGGTGGCGTAGCGCCTTTGGTTTGCTGCTTCGCAGTTCCAATTGCCATCGAGAAGTCGAAGCGTCGTTGACACGCTGGTTGAGAATCTTGCAGACAGCCGGTGTCAATGTCTCGAATTACTTGCATTACGAGAAGTTAGATTGTGAAAAGAACTGGCCGACCCCCCAGGCTGGTTCTTACCATGGTGCGTGGCCGACGGTGCTAGGTTCAACGACCATTGATGGCTTTGATGTTCCCATTTGGCGCCGTTGGGTTGAACCCGCTAGCCCTGCTTACGAGGTTAGGCATGAGTTCAGAGATTTTGGCTTTTTTCGACGTATTTTCCCACGTAATCATTGGTTTTGGTACACTATGGCAAAAGACAATGAACCTCATCATGCTATATGGAAGATCTATCCTCCTGATATAACATCGATTGATTGGCCTTATGTCTACTCAGCGGCCAGGGATGCCGACTTCAATACCATTGATTTACCCGAATTCTGTCTTGCAGAACATCATGGTAAAACACCGGTCGATTTTTGTAAATCTTTCTACTATGCTAAGGAACTGGTACGAAAAAGATTTGAAAGGAGGCTCTTACGAAAGCTCTATAGGATCGGGTACCTTCGGAAAGAAAAGCGTCTCCAAATACCGGGAGGTTGGCAGGATTCAGAATGATACAATGCAAGACTCCAAAGTATATTAGTTATTCAATGTCACCATGCGTTCCTCCGATCATGATAATGATAATAACGATGAATCCCTATTAAGGAAATTCGGTTCTTTAAGGGCGCAGTTGTAATGCCTCTCTTCAACCTCAGCGACTCCTTGGTTTAAATATCTGCGTCACAAACCGAAGTGTTATTCAAACAACAGTATTTGGCATGCAGTGGGAATATCTCCTGTTATAGTCTTGAGAACCCCGGCCAGCCTCAACCAACAGCATCACGCCACTTCAACCGGGGCGCGTAAGGGCAAGGGGAACGGGCGAGAAGTGGAGCATAACGAGGCAGATTTCAGGCACTGCCACCAGACAGTGTTGCACAGGAGGCCAACACAATAGCATTCTGGCAGGTTGATTGGGCCAGGGGGCTTGGGTAATGGAAGCGAGCCTGTTGGGGGTATTTCTACTCCTGAAGCCAAAGACTGATGTCGGGAAACATTCGTCTCGCATCTATCTCTGATTTTTTTTCCTCTCTAACTACTGCTATTCGATTTTCTTCATTTATTATTTCCACTTCAGTTCCAATCGCGCAATGTTGCTCTCTTGACAACTGAGTACACTTCAATAAGCGCCGGGTTGATACCGCTCCCTGGCCCGCCCATGGAGGCCGCATTCGGTGTGATCGCATTGACAGGTCAAGTAGTGGACACTAGCTTCAAGATCAAAAAAGTCGTTGGAACATTCAAATCTGCCCCTGAAGAAATCAGAGGCCTGTCGTCAAAACTCGATTTTGTGGGATTGACTTGTGACAGTCTTGGGAAACTCATCGATGATGAATTGCGTTTATTTGGAGTTTCCAGTCTAGTTGATGAAGGAGTAGACGCTGTCCTGAAAAGAGTTAAAGGGTCTTTGCTAAAGCTTGAGGAGGTAGTTAACAAGTTAGAGAGCAAAGGGAGTGGGACGAAAGGTCAAAAATTGTCTTTCCTCCGTAGGAAGGATGACATCAAGACCTTGAAGGAAGAATTAGAAGAACAGGTCAGTTTGCTGCAGCTTAAGCTCACGACAGCAACCTAGTATGTCTTTCATCCCCATAGAAGAAACTCTGAATTATGACTGAATCTTCCTTAGTAAAAAGCAGGCATTGCGTGGCAAACAAACATCAATACATGACAAACAACCCGAAAACCCCATCTCCTCAACGACATACTGTACTCATGAGCCACCTAAACAACCTGAAGAATCCGCACTTTCGAAAACAACGAGGGTAGTATTGGACAGGTTTACGTCGGAAACAGCATGGCTTCTCGGTATCCAGAGCTTAGTTGACAATAGAAAGGTCACTAAGAAGTCAAAATGGAAGAACGGGGAAGAGACAATCACAACGAACGAGACTAAAAGTTTGACTATCAGACATCAGTCAAGTACTTATGCCATCCAGTTGATGTGGTGGTTTACCGGGTCGATGTCCATATCCTGCTCGCTGAATATCCCGCACATCATCGACAGCAGAACTCACAATCAGGTCAAGTGGAGGTTATACAGATACTGCTACGGAGGAAGCATTCGAGGTCTCCAAGATATGTTTTCAGAAAAGGTCATTACGCCTACGACTCTTATTGATGGAGCAACACTGTTCGAAGTAAGCTCTGTCGCCTGTTATCCAAATACTGCACTGGGGCAACTGACATTGTCGCTCCTTAGTGGGCGGCTTCTTTTCCTCAGCCGGATATGTGCCGGTTTATATTACAACAAAACTCGAAGCTCAATGCGGACGAGTAGTAAGTCATATCATGAGTTGATGAACTACCTGGTAGGGCCTAAAGGCTAACCAAAAATTGTCTTCCTTTTAGTTTACTTGGCTCCAAAACACATCCAGGCCGCAATTCCCTCGATCACCGTGGCGATCCTGAGCAAGTATCGAAAGCTTATATCGATCTCGTCGGGATGTGTCTCGCGACAGAGGTACCAACAGTCATCCAGTACCGGTTTTTGGTTTCCAGTATGTCCCACCCAAGGGACATGCTGATGTGTTTCGAAAGGTTTCAGTACAATGTTTTCTCTGAAGAGTGGCTTGATTTCATCGCCGTAGCCTGGGACGAAGCTGTCATCCTTTTTGCCCAGCGCTCAAATCAGGAATGCATATGGATGTCTTCTCCAGAAGAAAATGAGTACTGGACTTCTCTATTTTCTTACATTATCGGAGGAGGTGTCGACGTGAGTAGGTTTATCAAGGGTGTTTCTGCGTGTAGAACTGCATTGTGGCACATGGTCAATGTGGCTACTTGTCCCCATAATCTGGAGAGCGCTCTTTTCTGCTGGGGCTCCATCTTGTGGTTATGTGGCGTGGAACTTGACCAATACCTTTCAGAAGAATGGTCATACTCTGATTTTATGTGGAAAGATTACTTGGAGGTAGAGCGCACATTCTCATGGCCCAGGGACCTGGTCCAACTGAGCATCAGCGGTTTCGTATTTCCATCATGGACTCGCCGAGTCACGTCGACAAGTCTAGCTTACGAGGTCAGGGAAGAGTTCAAGTATCTGGGGCCAGACACGCCTTACTCTATCGAGCCGGCAGCACAGTTTAAGCAAGATATCGCAGAGATGAGTGAGCGACACATGCACCACATCTGGAAAACACTGGATCACCCAACGATGGAAGAAGTACAGCTAGACGCCTGGCCATTTGGCTTCTGCCCGCCTAGAGATTTAAATCCGGATTATTGGAAGTGGTCGCAGTGGTACACTAGTAGAGGAAAGGCTCGGCGAGTCGAACGATCCTTTAAAATCGCTCAGGGTCTACTACATGCGCGCTTTGAGAGACGACAAAATAAGAAGCTGTACAAGTCGGGTTATTTCCCTAGGGCTAAGAAACTGCGCGACCTACCTGGGGCATGGGTTGATGATTGACAAGGAAGGAAATCCTAGTCGCATAGACAAATACTGCCAGAACTTATGGTTGTAGTAGATGGTCTCACGCGAGACGAATATATAACTCGTCGATGAATTCAGTCAGACACTTCTTTGACCACAAAAAAAGTAATAGAATATTAGCTTCATATTGACAATCTAGACTCGAACAGACTTGCAAGTCAAACTGATTAGTCTAATCTTTCCTATAGGCTCTTGGAAACAAACAAAATGCTCATAGACCGAACAAGTACACATAATCATCGTGGGGTGTTGGGCAAAGGCCGAGGTCCGACAATTTGTCTTCGACTGGCGCCAATACCTTGACTGCCCCGATTTTGATTGTCTCCCCCAGTGTAGCCCGCCCACTGGCTCACATCCCAACGGCCACCAATGCCGCCACCAATTCCGTCAACACCATTACCAGTCGGGACGGCCTTAGCAGTCTCCTCTTGAGCTTCCTCCCACTCACGTTGGCGTTGGCGTTCCATCTCCATCTCACGCTCGAGAAGAGATTTAGACGCCCACCCGCCGGCCTTCGTCTTATTTTGGCTCTCGGCACGACGTCGATCTTCACCGTCTTGCTCTGCTGTAAGACCCAGCTCGCGAGAATAGGTCTGCTTTGCCACAGGTTGCACCGGTGCGGCGTTGTTAGCGAGGAATCGATCCGTCCGGTTCTGTGTGGTCTGGGAAGACGACTTGTACGTGGCAGGGTCTGGAAGGGGTCGACCACCGGTCGTATGGGCTACCACCTTCTGGGGAGGCGGAGCGGCAGCCATAGGATCTGGCAGTGGCCTGGGGGATCTCGGTGGAGGTGCCGGAGGCTTGTCATCTTGCTGTGCCCCTTGGTGGTCAGTCCATGCCGTTTGCAGAACCTCGCGCTCGTTCCTCGACCAGGAATCTTGACGGCTGGGAGTCCCATCGCTTGGGCGGCTTCTAGACCTAAGCCGAGCTTTAGGATCACTGCTGACAGCAACTGGTCTGCCACTGCGGCCCTGACGTTCACGCTCATATTGCCTTTCTCGTTCCCTGGCCTTTTCGAGTTCAGCCTCCAGCTCGGCGATCCGTTCAGCTCCGGTCTTTTGAGGCTTAACAGCTTCTTCCGCCTGATACTGGCTAAGGAATTGACCACGAAGTCGAGCGTCGCTGCGGCTGCGTGTGCGCTTCCGTTCTTCGGCAAGCTGAGCCTCAGCCTCCTCTTCCTCCTTGCGCCGCTTCTCCTCATTTAGCCTCCACTGACGTTCTTGTTCTTCCCATTGCTTCTTTTCTTGCTCGGCTGCACGCAGTTTTTCCTCTCTCAGTAGCTGAACTTCCCGTTCGATGGCAAGCTCTTCCTCCTGGCGAGCCCTTGCCTCCTCCTCTTCTAATGCCTTTTGTCTCCGGATTTCTTCCTCCTCCATCTGTTGGCGTTGCTTTTCTTCTTCGGCTTCTCTCTCCCTCCGCTTCTTTTCCTTTTCAGCTAGGCTGGGTACGTGGGGACCGGCACTAGTGATTTGTCTACGGCTGCCGAATGAAATACCTAGGTTTCCCTGGCTAGCGCCGCCCATGTAGCCATACTGAGCAATGTTCCAAGCTGGAGAAGTAGCTCCTTCATGTTCCTTCTTACTCCAGCTCGTAGTTGGAGAAGTAGGCTTTGTCGGACTCCACCGGCCGGAACCCGAATCACCGGTTTTGGTACTGGCCAAATTAGGTCGAGGTGAGCCAAATCCTGAAGCATTCGACAGGCCGCGAGCTCGAGTCGGTGACGGTGTACCGCGACCGGTACCCTGCGGGCTCATGACTCCTCGGCTTCTACCGCCAATTGTCGTCGGGAACTTGGCCGGATTCGCAGCGTGCGCGGCGCGACTAAAGGCGCCAAGGCACTGCAGCACCTGAGCAGGGTCCTTTTGCTCGTATAGGTCGACGGTGAGAAAGACGTCATGCTCTTGGAGGTTCAAAGGCGGCTCTTTGCAGGCGCGCAGGAAGTGGGAGATATTCTCCATCTGTACGAAGGGCATGGCTGACTTCTTGAATTTAACACCGGGTGGTGGTACCGCAAGATTGATAAGTCTGAAGTATTAAATGTTAGTTAGTGGCATTTAAAGAGAAGTCTCCCATTGACCTACTTGCACAGCGCGACGCCATCTTTCAGGCTTTCGAGCAAATCTCCTCCCGAAAGCCTTTCACCGATGATGCTCTCGATCCAGCTGCTGACCTCTTTCGCAGCGGCGGGGGTATACTTGTCGAGGCGCAGTTTGCGCAAGTCTTTGTCTAGAGACGTTACGGAAGCCATCTTGGTTTATTGTATCGCTTTGAAGAAAAAAAAGTCTTCGTCAACTGGGTAGATCTCGTTGTTATGTTTTAAGCGCTTGGCAGTTGGGTTCGTGGCTGCGTTTCAATTATGCAGCGGTTAGGCGCTGACGTCGGCGGGGTCCGGCGATGACGGAAGTAGCACCGCCGCTGGTAGAGATGCGTAAACCTCGCTCTCTCAGTCGTTCCACGCGCGGGCGCAAGACTGTCTCAGGAGTTTTGCAAACTCGACTCCTGCAGGAAGTGATGCAGTTCGTCTCGTTCTCGGAACAGAAAGGAAAAAAGACCAAGGGCGATCCAAATGTTTTGCGGAGAGGACAATAGTCGGGTGGCAGGGGAGAAAGTGATTGGAAAGGCCCGACGTAGACCGCACTTGTGCCTTGTTAGTGGGGAAGATTTAATTGTTTATGCATCTGTTTAGCCAGCGGGAGCCTGGATAAGGTGACAGCGCCCGGGGTCCGGCGTGCCCGCCGCGGCCTTGCGGAGTGACGTGTGCGATGGTGGCTGGTGGGGGTCAATGTAACTGTGGGCAATTGCGTTGCAGAAAACATTTAAATATGTGGCTGATAATAAGCCAGCCAATAACCGCCCAGCCAATCCTCCTCGGTCAAACTTCCTTGTGGCGGTGCAGATTATTCAAGCTTGACCTCATTACTTTTCGCAAGACCCATTGATTCCGGTATCCTAAAGCCATGGGATCCTGAACGAAATATTCATTCTTTGCTTCCCCCAGCCTCACAAAATATTGCTGCACATGTCTTCGACACGGCTATCACCCATTTTGGAGGCCTGGTACAAGTGGAAGTCGCTCAGACTACCATGGCGCAAGCGCTTCCTTGTCGGTCCGTTCCCTCTCTTCTGAACTAAGGCCCAATCTTGAACCTCGTGGACTAACATGCTCGGTTCCAGGCCGTGACCTGCAGGGCTACACCTACTGGGAGTTTCGCGAAGCTCGTGGTGACGGACCCGGTCGATTCCGCCGCATTGTTAAGTACCCCCGATCGACCTATCTATCAGATGTGAAGGTGTCACCGCTTTGGCACCAATGGCTGCGGCATACCCGCGAGAACCCCCCCTCGCTGGAAGAGCAATCGAAAGAGGTTTTCCGACAGGAGAGGATGAAGATGCTGGCTGCTCAGGCGGACGCCAGGTGGGAGGCGAAGCCTAGGGTCATGGACGCCCCGGGACAAGACATGGGCCAGCCTTTGCCAGCACTGAACACCGCGCAATCCCAGCCAATTGCACCGGAAATGGAGGCGACGAATGCGAAGAAAGTCGAAGCTGAGGCTGCGGAGCAGGCGTCGAAGCCGAGCACGACAAAGAAGAAATACGGTCACGATCCTTGGGAGAAGGCCACAAAGGGCCCGGGAGAGAGCTGGCAGCCTCAGGCATGGGTACCACCTGCCGAGAAGAAATAGATGATATAAACGACGGCTATGTATCTGTGTATTACTAGAAGACGGAAAAAAAATCTCCGCAACTGTATCAATAATTCGATATGGAGTCGGTCTGCAGCTAAGTTCGCCAGTGCCCAGCCTGTCTCAGGTCAGGCGTGTTGTAGTGAATCCAGCACCTGAACTTCATCAATACGGCACTTCGCTGATATGTCGAGAAAACGCCAAACGCCTGTTTCCCATGCTCATCCGTACCCAAAATCCAGGCGCCTCGCCTTGTGGTCTAAGTCTTCCATTCCTCTTAGTCGGCCTCATCCTTCTTCTCGTCCTTCTCCAAGGCATTTCTCATCCTCTCCTCCTGCCGTCTCCAATGACTTCCTTCCTCGTAGTCCTTGCTTATCCTCAGCGCGCTTCTGAGCCTCTCGCTCTCTTTGATCTTGGCATCTGCCATCTCGTGAACCTGGTGACTCTTGAAATGCTTGCGTACTGGCCCGGGACCGCCGCGGGTGTTCTTCTTGCTCTCCAATTCCGCAAGGAGCTTCTTGCGTAACTCGTCGCATCGCTGCTCGACCTCTTCTTCCTCGAGACTAGAGAAATTACTGTCAAACGAATGCTTGTTGGAGACCTAATGATAAGCTTACCCTTCGTCCTCGAGGGTGTCCCGCAGGTCGAGAACCTTGACCTCGACCTCGCGCTTGCGGTCGTGTTCAAGAATCTCCTTATCGGGCTGGCGCTGTTTGTGACGCAGCGAGTCGGCGTCCTTGGGAGGATACGGCGCGCCATAATCGCGCGGGCGCATGTGTGCAAGGTTGCGCTGGACATAGCCAGACGTACCGCTACCGCGAGGTGTCGAGAGTCCGACGTTATCAGACATGGTTTCTGTATGAAGCTCTTCGGGGAGGTTGCTTTGGAGGGTATTATCGCGTTCGGCGTGATGGTAAGAAACCGACAACTAAGTGTGTTGCCTTGCTTTGTCGATCGGCGTTGTCGGAGAAATCAAGGTCAGATGTTCTGTACGAGTACTCGTGATTGGAGCTGGGGGGCTGAGGAAAGAGACGTCACCACAACCTTGGACCCTTGGCATGGTACGAAAGTTCAGTTGGAGACTTGGGTTCAAAAGCGGTGAATGATAGTGTAAGATAAGCCGAGGGGTGCGCGGCAGAAAAGTTATGACGAGTGGGATGGTGGGGCACTTTCTTCTTTGGGCGATTGGAAGACTCACTAAGCAGAGAAGACTCATCGATGTAAGTGAAAATCCCAACACTGGAGTGACAAAATCCTGACCAGACACATACATCAAGCTTTCGAGGGCCTCGATTATCTGGATACTTTATAGTTGTTCTCATTTCATTTTTACAATACGCCAGGTCTCATACGTGTGAACCGGAATCGCCGCAATGCCGTCTCTCGAAGGCCTCACTGAGGGGCAACCAACCCTGGACGCAATCAACAACGCAACCGCCCAAGACACTGAGGAAATTACCTTCCCTCCCGTAACCAAGGAGCACATCCTCAACTGCTCCTACGATAGCTGGTTCCCCAAGTATCGCACCGTCTCAATCCGTTCCAGGATTATCAAGCTGTCACCCGACTTCGTCCAATACATTCGGGACGACGGCATCATCCTCGCCGATGACGATGAGACGCAGTCCAACCAAGAAGAGGAGGAAGAATGGTCTGCCTCGTCAAACACGGCCGGCGCGCCAAGACGTAACCAGCATCTGGATGAGTCCGATTCAGATGACGATGAGCCCGAAGCAGACTCTCGCCCGCCGAACCAGCGTTTCCCCGAGATTCACCAGGAAATCAAGGAGCGTATCGCCGAGCTTGGCGGCGCTGTTGCCCCCAAGTTGAACTGGTCTGCTCCAAAGGACGCTGCCTGGATCTCGCCGCACCAGAACACGCTCAAGTGCACGACGCCCAACGACATCTACCTTCTGCTCAAGAGCTCCAGCTTTGTCAGCCACGATCTGGAGCACGCCTTTGACGACACTGTCGCATCCTCCGCAAACCGCCCATTCCAGCCGGTCCTGGTTCTCCGCCCTTTCTTTGCCCCGAACCCGGCCCTCGAGTTTAGATGTTTCGTTAAGCATCGCGCGTTGGTTGGCATTACCCAGCGAGACTGGAACTACTACCCTTTCCTCGACGGTCTGAGGCCCGCGTTGGTGTCTAAAATTCTGGATTTCTTCGAGGACAGATTGCGATTTACATTCCCTGATGGATCATACGCCTTTGATGTCTACGTTCCTGGAGATAGCGACTCATACGACGAGCTGGGCAAGGTGCGGCTCATCGACATCAACCCCTGGGCGCCGCGAACGGACAGTCTGCTCTTTTCATGGGTCGAGCTGTTGGAGTTCAAGGTGCCGAAGCCGATTTTGGGATCGGTCGTGAACGAAGAGCAGGTTGAGGGAAGTGGCGCAGACGAGACGACGGATGACGAGGATGCAGATGAGCTTGTTCCCGAGATGAGGCTGGTGGAGAAGGACAACCCGGCCGCGTTCAACTTCAGCACGCCGCAGTACTCGGCGCATAAGCTGCCCAAGGAGGTTGTTGACGCGAGTCTGGCGGGCGAAGGAGGATTGAGGGAGTTTGCGCAGCGGTGGAAGGAGATGACAGAGGCGGAGGGCGGCGGTGATGTCTGGGAAAATGCTCCTTAGATTTAACAATACAAAAAGAAGATGAGACCAAAAAAAGGTTATGCGTCCAAGATATTCATCATGAAGATACTACCAACGGCAACTCGCAGTTGGAAGTAAGTTGGCCTACTACTGGGATAGCACCATGCGGAGTTTGTACCTAGTGGCTGTTCATTACAGGGTCCGGGATGCAAAAAGGGATTACATAGAGTCTACTCAGACGACGAGATTTATACACTGGACGTGGATAACTACCCTGGGTAGCTGAAAGGCAAAATTTATCCGAGATGCGACTCATCACATACGTTCTCGGCGGACAGGGTGTTGGATTAAGCGACAACAAAAGCAGAGAACTCGGCAGTATGTTGAACTTGAGCCCTCTGCACCATCTCATCTTTATTTGCCTTTGGATAGGTTTAGCCACGTTGGCTAAGGCACCGCCTGTCCTTCCCCTACTTTTCAGCCTGGTTATCCAAGAACACCGGCATCAGCCGCCCCCTTTCAACTAACTGGGGCTGGTATATAGTTCTCTCAAGTCTACTCGCAACTAGGGTTTCCGAGGCATCGCTAACTAACGACATGACTGTCTGGACCACCTATTTCACTATGGGTTCGTCTGTGGCACGAACCAGAAGCAGTTACCGCTTATAGTAGATCAATAGGCAATCAAGGTTTTGATGATAGCTTTCAAGCAACTTGTACAATAACCAGTCCCCACGCCAACAGTCCCAGGTACGCAGGAGTTCTAATTGTGATACAACACCTGTTCTTCTTATCACGTGATGGAACAACTGGAGGGAGAAAAACGTCTCAACAAAGTCCAAAAATCAACATTCAAAGTATCTACAAGAGAAATATAAATATATAACAGGCGCAAAGGGGCCACTCTCGCAGCTCATATCCGAGCACCCTTCGACGACGTAGTCCAGTGACATCTCGCCAGGGTATCATTCCATCAGATACAAAACATTACCATTTACACATCCAACACATGGCCATTCCAGAGGATTAAAACCAGCAGCAAGCCAACCGTCGTAAGACAGGAGAGGAGAAAGGTGTGCCACGGTCGACCAGTGTTCCAGTACAGACCCGCATAAGGTCCCCGAGAAGAAAGCAACTTGCTTTTTTCTCCCCCTCTCACATGACGATGCAGCACGCCTTCTCCAACTTCTTGAGGAGCTTGACGGCGAGGTCTTCGACCTGGTCCTGTTGCTGGTTCTGTTGGTTCTGTCCACCGTGATGCTGCTGACCGCCGTGATGCTGCTGTTGTTGGTGTCCACCGTAGTGCTGTTGCTGGCCGCCATGGTGCTGCTGCTGTTGCTGGTGGTGACCAGCCGCAGGACCGCCGTGATGCGCACCGCCAGCCTGGGGCGGCGGCGGCATCGTGGCGTCCCCGCCCTGGAGGTTGATGTATATGCGACCGGCATTGTCCTCGGTCGAATAGTTTAACCCCAGCTCGCGGCACAGCTCCTCGATGCGCGGCTTGAGCTTCTGCACATGGCCCGTCGAGTGGTTGCCCTTGCCGACGATGGCGTGCAGGTGGTCCTGTCCGCGGGCGCGGTCGGCGCGGATGCGGTCCTCGAGGATGCGCTCCGCCTCCTCGACGAACTGGCCGTGGAGGTCGACGCAGCTGCCCGTGACGCGGCCCGGAGCGTTGTTCTCCCGGAAGATATACTCGGACGCCTGGCGGTTGTAGTCATCCATGCGCTGGGCATGGCGCTTGCCCTCGTTCGACAGCTCCTTGGCGGCGGCGCCGTCGCCGGACTGGTATGCCTGCTGGGACTGTACGTCGCAAAAACATTCGGGTTAGAAAGCGTGGGAGGACAGAACCCGACTGAGAACGCGGATTGAGAACATTGGGGAGGGGGAGGGCACCGACGCGCTCGAAGCAGGAGTTGCGCTTGTTGGCCTCCTCGCGGGCTAGGTCGCGGAGGCGATCGTACTCGCGTTCCACATCGTCATCATCATTGTCGGCGTGGTGAAACGCTATCGTCGGCGCATTTCTCGTGTCAGCGCGTGTTGGTTCTTTGCTCGGTGGGCAAAAGGACCATATTCTTCCTCTCTCTTCCCCCCCCTGTGGCGGTCGCGCTTCCAGCCCATAACTTCAGGGGGTGGGGGTAGGTAGGCAGGAAGGAACGCAAGAATAGACGTGGGGTGCTGTGCTTACCGCGACCGCCCAGGCGGTTCATAGGAATGGACATTGTGATTTCACGTGCGCTCAATTGACTCAAGTTGCGCCCCTGGGTAAAGAACCAATTACTTGACGTAAAATGACGGGAAGATGATGCAGCCGTCAGCGAGAAAAAACAAAGTCATCTCACGACGCGGGCGCGGAAATTGGCAAACGGCGCTAAACAACCTTGTTTTTTCGGCCTCGGCCGCGTAAATGTGGAGACACCCTCCGACGGTGGTGCTGCTTGAGCTGGCCGGCCCGGCTCCCGCCCCGGATCCGCCAAGTTAAGGGCTGGCCCTGCTCAGTGATCGATCCTGAAGCCCGCGGCGGAATTTTTCCCACATCACCCACCCATCTGTCCCCATAAGCTGCGTCTCTGCGTCGTGGACCCAGGGGAGGCGACCGTCATGTTGACTGTGGGATCTCCACAGCGAGTCGGTCGTACGCGTCTATCGCTTGAACCATCAGAGCATTCAGTGGCTGGACGATAACACAAACTAGTGTTTCTACACGACTTCAGGCTGCACGCTTTTGGGAGCTGTTCTCAGCTGCCTATATTGTATGTATCCCTCGAGAAAATTTTCCAAGTACAAATTGTTCTGAAACAAGCTGGACCCCAGTGGCTGAGGTGGATGGCGGGCGTGGCTTCTGTACTACGTAGTTGAGATACCGTTTCACAGCCTTTCGGATCCATGATATTGTGTCCGAAACAAAACTCGAACAGCCGGGCCGGGCATGAATATCCGCCATGGCCAAGAGAATGATTTGGCGCACCACGTCTCATGGATTTTCCAGTGCCCCAACACAAGCCGCTTGTCTGATGTGCCAGACAACTGTTACACAAGAAACAGGCCCAGGGGGTGGAATGCTTCTGTGGGGCTTCTAGAACATATCAATCTCGTTCGCTCGATGGTCAGATGCAAAGCCAGAGCGCTATCGTCCGAACTAGCCGATCAAAATGTAATCCAGATGGAACGATGACTGCCGCCCGAGAAAGGTAAGGCGCTTAAGAGATCTCGGGAGCAACAGCAGATGATCGTAAGAGGACCCAACCTTTGCGGCACGGTAGGTGAGAGCGACGACGCCGCAACGGTGCTGCATCGGCATCGTTTGTGCTTAAAAAAAAAAAAAACCAACTAACAAAAGGCACTATTGTTGGAAATTCTATGCCGCGTTGGTTGGCCTCTCATTACTCGCTTATGCTTGTGAAAAGGGCCCCCCCATGTATGCATCAGAGAACACGCAGAATTCTCCATCTGCCAGGCCCCCAAAGGAAAGCGCGCTTCTGCCATTCGTCCGCCCACAAAGTTCACCTGGAGCGGAGGCACACGATGGCAACAGATGGGGTTCGGCTTCGGAAACGAGAAGAGCCTCCACATTTCCGGACCCTCTTCAATTAAAGGAGCTTTCTCGTGATCCCGCGTGGAACGATTTTGTAACTCCACAGTTTTGCCTCTTCAGGCATCCGATGCCAATAAGCCCCCTGGTCTCTGCCAATTTTCTCTATGGGTCCGCGTCACATCGTCAAAGGAACTCGCATGCCATGTGGCCTCCCTGTATCCGTAACACCTGCGCGCGGGAATAGTTTCTGGTAGTAGTCTTCGCCGGTGGCCTGCAAATATTTAGCGACTTGCGCGAAATTACGAAATTACCTTATTTCGGATATGAAATGTGCCTGCCAACCGCCCCCGATTTCTTCTTTCGACGCTGTTGACAACGCCGTTTTGGGAGGCGCTCTTGTTCTGGTGCAACGTCTGCCCGTCTTAATTGGTTGGTCCGTCATAACCGCCTTTCCTTCCTCGCCTTATGCCTACATGGTCCTTACACGGCTTGTCCTGGAATCCCAGAGTGATGCGCAGCCGCTGAGACATTGGAGCAAGTGGGTAGCAAGAGAAGCAGGGGCTTTGAATTGCGACAGGTGAAGGATTATAACAGGGGTAACCTGGCGCATATAAATCCTGTGAATCCACTCTTTGCGAAATGGACAACCAAATACTAGTAGCTGCAGTCCATCAATGGTTTATGGGCGCGTTCTCGACAGCCCCATCATCGCATCCCCGCAAGATGTCCGACCAAAACTTGGTGTTGATCAACTGAACCAAACAGGTTAGGGAAACACACCTGCAGGCGAGCGGGAATCGTGTGCGGCACCCCCAAGATCATGACCCGATCAGCATCTCAAGGGGCATTACTGGCCTCCCCCTTTTTTTTTTTTTTTTTTTTTTTTTTTTTTTTGGCAGAACATCAAAATTGCATCTGGGACTCGCAAACGGCTTGGGCTTTGTGAACCACAAAGTCACAGACAGGGGAACGGTTGACGGTGCCCTTGCATAGTAAGCTTGTCCCAGCTGATTCGCTGTTTCATTGTAGCCAAAATGGCGGGGTCTGCCCGCCTCAAACTTTTGCCTCGAGATTCTGATTGACTAGGCGGCGGATCAAGAAAAATCTCCGCCATGTCACCAACAGGCGCGTTGACGTGCGAGGACATGCGTTGAATCGCAGCCTCTGCGATTCATATCTACATCCAGGCGGCGAACACAGTTGCTTTGAAGGCCCTCTCCCCACAGGCTTTGCAGCCACCGGAGCGCCCGCAAACTGCATGCTGATTTCGGATGTTTGTCGTATGTGTGTTTGTTGTAAGTCGTGACCTTTGTATACAGTAGAATGGAGAGATGTGTGCACTCCCCCACAGGATCGGGTTGTCCGTCCCGCTGGACTTGTAACTTGAGACGATTTAGTTACCAGTCTCTTTGAAAGGCCCTACTTAGCATGCGGCTAAGGCGGTGGTAGTCCGCAAAGCTAGGCTTGTGGCGCAATTATTGGCTAGCTGCGATGGCTGTTTAGCAACTACCGTTCCTAGAATTCGAACCATAGTGGCGGTCGCTGCAACCAATCAAGAGACCAAACTCCGAGTCAGGATACACGGTGTCTCTCGTTGTGAGCCACAAGAGCATCTCAGCTTAGTCCATTTCCGAGAAAACTCAGGTCCGTGTCTTTCATAGCACAACAACCTTCGTCTAGTTCAAATACCAGTAAGAAATGTACAGGGTCTTTGCATGTTTGAGCATAGCTGATGTTTCGATACCTCCACTGCTCTCTGAATAAGGAGGGAGAGGAAAGAAGGTGTAAAAAAAAAAAAAAAAAAAAAAAAAAAAGGAAAGAAAAAGCCAGAATTACGCCATATTGGTCAAAGCTAAAGAATTGCGTGGTAGATAACACCGATGCTATTAGTGAGGACGATGTATGTAGTTGGCTGTACATATGTTTTCAGCACTGGCTGAACTCGCGATGGATTTGAGTGAAGGCCCAAAGTTTGCTACGAGACTCGACGCAGGGCAGAAGGGCCATCACAGCGGCAACATGCAGCTAGCGGCTGAGCATAGAAGCAAACAGGCGACTGAACGTCTAAATAAAAGCAAACATTTCGGCGTGACTCAAAGGTCCAGCACCGTCAAAACACCAAAAAAAGAATAGATCTGTTGACTGTGACAGTGGGCCGAACATCACATATGTTGACGGTTAACCACCCTGCCTATCGAGGCCTTGCTTTTTCCCCTGTGGTAGCTATCGGGAAGGAGATCGTTAAGATTCAAGTTGACATGTTTGACTGTAAGGAAGGTTCAAAAAAAAAAAAAAGTGAACCTGACAAGCCCAATCATCAGGTGAGAATATAAAAAAGGGCCTTTGTGGCGGCAAGCGCCACGTCTCCCGATTGGGCACACCAGTGTTTAGGTGCAATCTGCCTTCGTTTCTTGGAAATGCGGATCATGCGCCATGGGAATGACTAGGACGGAAGGCTTCGAGGGGCGAGACTCGGGCTGGACTGAGCAGAAGTGGAGGCTTGGGGCGAGTGTCGCAACGAGTTTGACTTCATCATCGATACCGCGCTCCTAGACGGAATGACCGCATGCATTGGGAGGGAAGATCAACATGCTGGCAGATGAGAGGAGTTGAGGGGCGCCCCAGGGCGTCTCTTTACTATAAACACTCTCGGCATCTGGTCTGGCATTGACACTGATCGAAGGGACATGGCCATCATAGTACCTTGTCATTAGAGATGATGGTACACTCAGGCAAGAAGGTTGGTAGGTCGTGCGGCGGCCATGCGCGAGAGATGTGATATTGGGCGAGGAAGCAATCGCAAGTGGATGCAGGGAGAGTAGATGAGGACGGAGAGGGCCAGGTGAAGCGTGGGCTCACTGACATTAGGCGAATGGGTGGTGGAGCCGAAAAAGAACGACGACTGGAGCATTTGTTCCAGAGCTGGAGCATGTTCGAGTTTTTGATGGTACTGTGCAGTAGTCGCCAGTAGCAGAGACATGGAGATGGATTGGGAATGGTGATGGAGCCGCCGTGTCCGTGGGATGCTGGCGCGAACACGGCCCTGGGTGCCTGGATATGGCGACCGGGGATGAAGTCGGACGACGGCTGGCTTATCGACTTACCTTGACTTGGGTCGCGTCCTGAGCAAAGAAAGGAAAAGTCGACAGGTGCCAGACTTAGATGAGATCGGCCCCTATTACGGAGAAAGATGCAAGTGCTCGATGAAGCCACTACTCCTTTGTCAGTTCGTCCGCCAAGGCCAAATGGTTGGCTGCTTGGGGACAGGAGGGACAGAGTAAAAGAGCATGGAGTAGACCGTGCGAAATTGATAAGACAGCTCCAGGGAAGATCAATTCGACCGAGGGAATAGTACTTCTTTGATTGGAGATTTAACCCCCCTCCAAATAAAAAAAGTTTGTTTCCATTGTTTGCTTAGATCTTGGCGAGGCGGTCGAACTTGTTTATGTGCCGTTTGCTAAGCAAGAGCTTAGTGTACCCGCATCTGCGACGGTATCGTCACGGAGTATATGTAAGCAAAAGTTCAGACATGCAAGGCAGGAAGGTGGACGGGGTGGCCGTGGATGGTACTAAGATTGATGTTGGACGCAACAACAAGGTGATGGCTCATTGCAAATGTTTCAAGAATGGCAATGGAAGCCCCAATAGAAGAAGGCAATGTTCCAACTGCAGTATTCCAATGTTCCG